TAACAGTTCCTAACAAGCCTTCCCACTCAGACTAGACAAATGAAAATATTCTAGTTTTTCCTACCTCCTTCAACTTAAATGATTCTCTTTTTATATATGCAAGCTAATCAAAGTTCAGTCCCTTATCAATCAAGGCTAATACACTGCCTCTTAGATGATGCAATGTCTTTTATGTTGTAAAAACTTAATGTTTCAGACGAGGGGCAGGAGAAGATACCGATTAAAATTTATCATTCTGGAGAATACAAACATAGCAATATGCCTGAGAAAATTTTTATGTAGACAATGGAAAAATCTCCAGTTGGCAGAAGGTTTAGAGAATTTAGAAAGTCTTACAAGTGGGTTCCTTATTAGGAAGACTGCTCACCACTTACTGCTTTCAAAAGTTCAGATCTCTCTACCTCTGCTAACATAAAACAAAACAAGGGTAGCAATATTTCATGATTTTCTCAATAGTGTAAAAAAATAAAATAGAGAAATACATTGGATGCCAAAAAATTGGACTCCAACTCTTACTTATAACACTTAGATCTTAAATGTTAAAGCAGCTCATTTTATAACTAAAATCTGCTATGCATATGAACTTGAATTAAAATGAATTTATATTATCCCTGCCTATAACTTAGTATACTCTTTTAAAAATCCTAACAGTTGTAATTGTTTTATTATTTTATGATGGTTTGGGTTGGAAAAAGAATTTTGTTAAAATTTTTTTGAAAATTACCACCATATTTTGTATTTTTAATTAATAACTGTACATCTGAAAATTAAATATCTATGATGATAAGTCACTATCTTTTACCTACTCTTACTTAGTATATCATAGATTCTGAGGGAAAAAAATCTTACAAAAATATTAATTTTCTAACATGTGAAATAATCCACTAATATAATCAATTTTAGCATATGAATTTCTACAACTTGTTACTTAGAATGAAGACTAAAGGACAAGCTTGACATTTTAAAAAGACAAAAACAATCATAATCATCTACTTAAATCACAGTTTAGCAACTTGGTGATGTTTCTTTGTGGACTGCAAATGAAAAGCTAGAATAACTATCAATGCAGTATTAAAGAAACAAAACAATCATATACACACAATTCAAATGGAAAAATGAATTTATCTACCTTTGGTGGCAAAGGAGGTGGAACTTTTGCTTTCATGGTTGACCTAAAAACATAAAGAGTTTAGAATCAGAACTATTCAGTTTACAAATGAATCAATTACTAAAATATAATTTTTCCAAAGATATGAAAAAAACCCTGTCAAAACAAGTACCACTTTCTAAGATTATGAGTTTTTCCTCAAGTTTTTGTGAAATGTTCAAGTTATGCTGAATGAAATTTTTTCTTTTCTTTTCTTTTTTTTTTTGAGAGGAGTCTTGCTCTGTCTGTTGCCCAGGCTTGAATAAAGTGGCATCATCATAGCTCACCGCAACTTCAAACTTCCAAGTTCAAATGATCCTAAATGAGGTATTATTTAGAAGTAATTGGGAACTGGAGGACATTACATTAAGTAAAATAAGCCAGAAACAGAAAGACAAATACTGTGAACAAGTTGATCTCATAAAAGAAAGAAGTACAGTAAGTAGACTAGACACTGGAAAAGACAGGAGGAAGGGAGGACTGCGGAGAGATTTGTTAAAGGATACACAATTACACTTGGATGGCAGAATTTAAGTTCTAGCATTTCATACCACTATAGGATGACTATGTTAACAGTAACATATTATTTAGTTTAACTGGCTACAAGGAGGACACTGAATGTTCCCAACACAAAGAAATGATAAATTTTGAGTTGATGGATATGCTAATTACCCTGATCTGATCATTATACATCACACACTATGAAACATCACTATACACCCCATGAATATGCACAATCATTGTCAATTTAAAACATGAAATAAAAAAGAAATAATTAGATTTATTTTCTTGGTTTCAAATACTATATTGTAATTAATATTGAAAAAGATAACTATAATTCTAGTTATTTCAACTGAAGAGTAAATAATTAAGAACATAAGCAATAGCTGGCTTCGGAAAATATGGTATAAAATGTATCACGCTGTAAGCCTCATTTTTGCTTTTACAAGACAGGCAATATCTTTGATTAAGCTCCTCAAAAATTATATATCCTGCATGTGCTGTATAAAATTATAGGCAGCATTTGACTGAAGCTAAAATTCATTATGACTTAAGATTAGTTGTAGAAATAGAAAGAAAAGATGATGAAACACAAACTCCTTGGGTAAGGACACTTAAGCCCACAGAGATTACACGACCTCAGGCAAGACCACACAGCTATGCCCCTACTGCTAACCAAGTGCTCCTGTCATTCTACCAAGAAACTGCATCCTTAAAACTCCCCCCAACAAAAACTCAATTAAAAGGCCTAAACATCAATGTGTAAATAATACCGCATGCACCAAAAGTTACCCCTAAAGTTGCCATATGTAGGAAAATGGGAAATTGTAGCTAAATGTACCTTTATTTTATAAAATACCCCTCTTCAAAAATACACATTTATAGTCAAAGTATTTATTTGAAATGTATCAGATGAAATCTAATCAAACATAGAAAAACTTCTTTGCATTTAGAGTAATAATTATAGCTGCTATCAATTAATAATCTACAAAAAGTTATTATCCTTGTTAATTAGTTTTTTTTTTTTCAAAGTTTTTGGTTATCAACTTGTATTACAGACTATATTGCATTGCCCCAAAATTCACATGACTGTATTTGAAGATAGGGCTTTTAGGAGGTAATGAGGTTGTAACACTGGGGTTCTAATCTATGGGATTGGTGGCCTTATAAAAAGAGGAAGAAAGATCACTCTCCCCACATTGTCCCACATGCACACAAAGAAAAAGGGCCACGTGAAGACACAGCCAGAAGATGACTGTCTGCAAGCCTGGAGTGAGCCCTTGCCAGGAACCAAGTTGGCTGGTCCCTTGATCTTGAACTTCCCAGCCTCTAGAACTGTGAGAAATAGATTTGTACTGTTAGGGTGAGCCACCTAGACCTTAGGTATTCTGTATGTCATCCTGAGCTGACGAATATGACTGGAATAGAGAAAAGGAAAGAAACACGGGTACAACCTCTAATACTGTGTTACTAACGATATTAAAATTATTGTTAATATTAAGTTGCTATATTTATGAAATTCAGGTCAAATGACGCATTTTCTTTTTACCAGAAACAGAGATAGGACTTACTGTTTAGAGTCATCATCATCCTCTTCATCATCTTCTAAATGTGCCACATGTCCTCTAAAGAAGGGTAATGTCATTGTTAATAAATGGACTCTACCAAAACCGTGTAAGAAGAAATTTTGGAAAATACAGGAAAGGCTGCTTATAGTAGACAGGATTTCATTTCTCTATCTTTACAGGATAAATTCAAAATTTAAACAAACAATGAAAAATAATCTTAGGTGACACAACAAAGAAGGGGGCAAACTACTCATCTGTGACATAAAGTATACAGTATTTTAAATTTAGTTAAAAATTAAAATTACCGCTGATGTAATTCTTCTTCAACAGACTTGAGAAGACTCCTTTAAAGAAAAAACAAACCACAAAAAACAGTGTGAGTCGATAAGCAGAGGAGGAATACCAAGTATATATTTTTACCACTTTAACCTTACCTGTAAGATTCTGTATAATTACTTTTTGAACCATTTATTGAAAATTTGCTATAATGATCACCTCTGTAACCATACAATGTCAAGTTATATTTAATGAAATCCCTTTACTTTTGTTGTTAATGTCTTTTGTATTTTGAAAGAGCAAAATAAATCCTATTGCTTATTGAAAAGTATCAATTCAAACAGAAGACAACTCACTATGAAATGTCACAACGGTACTGACAAAACAATAATTGCAGGGTCAACTGTCAGGAGTTTCCAGGATGCAAATTTTACCTGGAATATTATACCTGACATCTGAAATTATATTTTCTTTTTCTTAAAATAAGGAAGGTGATACACTTAAAAAAACATCATGCTCTCAGGCAATCCTACAGAATGAAACTCACTATGCTGGCTCTCTCTGCAGAAGCATGCATGCATGTGATGTGAATACATGAATGTAGTAGCACTTTGCTTTCACAGAAGACACTCACTTACCTGAAGGATTTGCTCTCCAGTGGTGCACGGGCAAACACATTTACACTTTTGGGAGACTAAGCCTGTATCAGACCAGGTGTGAGGATTTTACCATTAGGAGCAGTATACAAAACTTTAATTTTCAGGAATGTAAGAGAGAACTTAGGGCATTCCTGAAGTTCCCTTACTTCTTTTCACTGCAAGTCCATGCAGCTATCTCCTAAATTATACCTTTCAAGCATAAAATCTCAATAGCCTTCTCCTAGCTTATGGGATAGAGAAAAATACAGTTCTAATAAATTACTGGGATAAAAGTGGTTCATCAAAAAATTCACTCTCTGTAAAAGTTAAGGTAGCACCCTTTAATCATCTTCCCTCCTAAAACATAAGGGGGGGAACTGCCTTTAGAATTATCAGCATATGAAACCAGAGAAACTAAAGAAGTGGTTATCTACTATAAGCAACTGATAGAATAGTTAGCCATCAAATATTTTAATCAGTTTTAAAAAATAACAGAGTTGTGAATTTGGAATGATAAATGCTATAGGAAAACCATAAGCTAATGCAAGCACTATTTGTAAATTTAAAAACTGAGCTACCACAGTCAAATATCTTACTCACAAAGTCCTTGAGGGGTTCTCCAAGTAGGAGCTCTCCTCTAGTAGAGGCAGTAGAATAACGAGGACAAGCTTTCAAGGCAGGACTGCATGAATCTGAATCCTGCCTCCACTTCCTCTGCAGTGTATGGACCATCGGGGTCTAGGGCCTTGGATAAGTTATTCTGATTTCTACATCTTCAGTTTTCCATCTATACATGTAAAATGGGAATTGCCACAGAACTTATCTCAAAGTGATTTTCCCAAGAGATCCTGAATTAACACAGGTGAAGCACTTAGAAGAGTAACTCAGAACAGAGGAAGAACTTGAGGGCTTTCTTCAAGATTACTATTGACTGTAAACAAGTTCTCAAATGGTGGTACAGAGATCCGGGGGTTCTCTGCCTCCTATAGGGGGTCTACAAGGTCAAAACGATTTTCACAATACATAATCCCTTTGTCACTCTTCTTTTCTTGTGACTATACACTGAAGTTTTCCACAGACTACAAGGTATGCGATATTACAACAGATTAAATTCAGGAGATATGAGAATTTACTTGTTTTCCAGTAAGACACTGTTAAGGAGATTTGTAAAAGAAAAAAATATAAAATAATGCTACTTTTCTTAATAATATTATTTTGGTTCAGAAAAACATAGCTATTTTTCATAAAAAATGTTATCAGTGGACCTCAACAAAATGTTTGTTGTATTGCACTGACATATATGAAGCTTTTTACTGCAATTATTTGCTGCTTTTAAGTCTCATGAAAAGAATCAGTAGTGTTATAAGAAGGTGCTATAAAGAGATACATTTGATCTGGCCACTAAGGATGAGGATTTTTTAAAAAGTACACACACAAATGTTACTTATTATAACATATAATGATAAAATTATTTCAAGACTTAAACATTTTAAAAATTTCTCAAATTTCCAATATTATAAATATTGATAGTTACAACCCCTTGTTAACCAAAGCTCTTTGATGAGTTCTCAATAATTTTAAAGACTGTAAAGGAATCCTGGGACCAAAAACTTGAGAAGCACTGCTTTAAATTATTTCACCAAATTAAACATAATGTCTCTGAACTGTGTAAGTGGGCTGTAATCATTTTAGAAGATGTGAAAAAAGCAACAACAAAAGAAAAAAATATGTGAAAAAATACTTTTTCTGAAGCACATGACAATATTTTTTGAGACTTTTTTTCTCTCTTTCTTTGGTAGAAAATATTAGGATTTAAAAATATTTAGGAGGAGAATTTAAAATGTAGCTTTACTTTCAGTTACCATGTTTATTTGGATTTATATGGCATTCCACTTTTGAAAAAAGTCTTCCTAGGAGTGCTCTAACAATAAGAGAAAGGCTGAACAAGTGAACATGGAAAAACAGCTAGCCCAAGGCCCAGGAACTCATGTATATCTCTTACTTATTTTCTTGTAAATCTACTATGTGATATTATATTTTGTTTAAGTTCCAGGATAAAGTCTTAATGAAAAGTACAACGTATCATTTTCTTTTTAGGCTTTATATGAGAGAAAATAAAACATGGCTAAATTTGCTAAAAGGTTCTGTACACAGTAAATATTGTACCTTGAGCGTACTGGAGAAAATATGATAGTGATTTACTCAGGAAGACTGAGCGCTACACAACAAACAGTGTCACTATTCACTGTCTCCCAGAATTCTCGCATTATGGAATTTTTAGAAAGAACAAAAAAATAATGCCTTCAGATACTGAATTACTAAGCCCATCTAAAATGACTAGGAAATTTTGATGAAAAGTTAAGAATGAAACAATGTACAAAACACAGATTTAACTGATAAAGTGAAGAAACTTACATGAGTGAAGTCTAAAGCCACACCTAAAATACTCAGCATACTCAATAGCTAAGGATTTCACACTGCACATTGAATTTTCACAATTGCCTACCTGCCCCAAAACGATTTGTAAATACTGCCCAGATTGTATTTCAAAACAAAACTCCCTTTCTCTAAAACCAAAGAGCAATTTTATTCACTTGGTTATACGATCAACAATTACTTACCAAGTAACTTACTATAAATAAGGGCAACTAATAAGTATTTACTAAATCCTAAATGTGCTAAATACTTTACAAAGATTAGTCCATTTCATCCTTAGCTCCCTATGAGGCAAATACTATTGTAATCCCCATTTTACAAGAGATACGAAGGTAAATTTCTCCAAGTCACGTAGTTTTAAGAGCCAGTTCTGTCTCTGATCTGGCACTTATTACCACAACACTCAATTGTGCCAGGAATTGTATAATTCAATTTACTCTCTACTTTTTAAGTTATTAGATGATAATGTATCTTTAAATTTTTGCTCATTAAAACAAAATCAGAAATAATTAGAATTTTCTTTTAAAAATAGTATTTTGTTGGTTTTAAATGGTCAGAAAAGTTGACCTCAGCAATATAAGAAAAAGGTAACAACCAAGTACAAGTCAAAACACACATGCTTTCTGTTAAAAAGAAAAAAAGAAAAAGAAAAATCCCATGTAACAATTCTTATTTCATAATTCCTGCATGGTCTGGATAGGTAGAAACCCATCTTTGGGAATCTGTCTGCCTGATCACCTATGGAGAAAGCAGGATATCCCATGAGTTTTAAAACATTGCCTGGTCACAAGAATAAAGCAGACATATCAATACAGCAAGAGAGGTGCTACATCCATGCTCATGTCACATGTATGTATACACCTACACACGGAACGCAGCCAGATGTCAAACTTTTGGCCAACCTACCTTGCCAATGATTCATTATATAGAAAACAGTTCCTTAAGCAGGGATCCAATTAATCAAAAAATGAAGGTTGGGCAAATTATTAACATTTTACCTAGTCAAAATTACTATATACTATGAAAATGCCTAAAAATCAGAAATCAGACAAGGAGAACTAAGGAATCTGGAAAAGCACTGAGTGATGGGCCGTATGTTTCATATTTTTTAAGTACATAATTTTTAAATATTTTAAATGAATGAAAAAAAGGCAAATAAGTTTTTTTTCACATTATTCAGTATCTTAAAATACAGCAACATTTGCTAACAAGGTCTTTAAAACCAGTGACCTCATATTTAAAGAAAATAATATAAAAAACACTTTAGAATCTTTTTATTTGCTAACTCACTGTGAGACAAACTTTCCTTTGTTGTCCACCAACAAGCTAAGTTATAAAGAGCAAGCAGTTACTATTTGGGTAAAATTTCATTTTTCTACCAGGGAAATTTTATACTTACTTTCCATTTTAAAAAACACAAAGGTTAATAGTAATAACATAATATAAAAAACACCCTCATAGTATTTAACTGGAGGCCCACTTCAATCAAAACTAATACATTTCAGTAGGCTGTCGATCAAAGCCTTTTCTCTGAGTTGGGAAAGGGTAGTATACAGTAGACTCCCCCATAAGTTGACCACCCATTTACTGACTATATCACAAACGGGTCATTAGCCCTACTGTACTGGTACATATATATATGTGGTGCATGTCCAATCTATGAAAATTAGGTCAACTCAAGGAGGTAGTCAATGTTGGGAGGTGTCAATTACGGAGGTTCTATTGCATTTAAAAAAGAGAAAGACATTATTTTGTCCTTTTATCCTTAAAACTATTAAGGATAACTTTGTTTTTAGTCACTATTTTCATCTGCTTAACTTAAAATATGGGAATTATATATGCCTCAATTTGTAACCAGCCCTATGAACAAATCTCATATGTATGTTTTTTTATAATTAACTACTTGAACTTTTTGAGATGTTTCTTAGAAGCAGATTTTTCTTTTTCTTTTTTACGCAATTTCTTTTTTAGACAAAAAAATCCTACTTGGAAGTGGATTTTTTTACAAGAGATTTAGAAGGCCCCTGAGCAAAAATTCCTGATGCCAACAATCACCAACCCCCACCACCTGCCCCAATGCACTTGGCCTCTCCTTAAAAAGCCCAGGAGTTCTGTTGCTCAGAGACAGATCTGAGACTACTTCTCTCCTGACAGACATCTTTCACATTAAAATTCCTTTCTTTCTGGGCAATCCTTCTTCTCTCAATAAGTGGATCTCTGTGCAGCAAGCACCTTGATCCAGGCCAAAACCACCTCACAGTTTCAATAAGAAACTCTCTAATGCAACTGAAATAGTATTTTGAGGTTTTAAGTTGTTTTGATTATTCAAATAGTATATATACTGCTTAAAAATTTGTCCATCTGAATGATATTCCCTTATTAGTAACTAATGATGAGCAGGGAAACAGCGGGGGAAAAATACAAAGCATATTTAAAAACATCGATCAGTCCAATACAATTTGCTACCTTAAATATTAAATTATCATATGAAAGGTAACTTAATAATTCTTGAATTAAATTAAATTTTAGAACTTTACTTACTTGTTTGCACCTAAGAAGTAACTACTTTGGTGTCCTTGTCCATATTCTAGTTGTAGATCCTAATAGTACAAAATAAAATATTTAGCAAAATAGCAATATACCACACAACACATTATACTAACATACATTATTTTAAAAATATAAACCTCAGATCCCAAATAAATCTGTATTGCTGTATGTTTTTAAAAGAGGCAAGGTAGAACCTCCAACAATAAAAGATTTCAGATGTTTGTAGAGTCCTGATTTAAGTATTTTATTATTTAAATTGAGTATTTTTTTGGGAAGTTTTCTAAATAATAATATATGCAAAGGTTCATTTATGGTTCTGCTATTATAATTAACACTTACAAAATTTAGTTTTTAGAAAGGAAAAAACTCAAATAAGATATTTATTCTCAAGTTATTAATGAAGCAAAAATGATCAGAGAATAAGTAACAAAAATCTTGGTTTTCTTTAGGACATAAAATAATCATGTATGTACGTATGTGTGTGTATTCACACATTCACATATTTCTACTGCTGCTTCACGCAGGTATTAATTTTTTAAAGACATAAAATTGAGTAATATTTTAAAACTGAACATGTACAAGATTGTAAGCTGCACTGCAAAAGTTTCAAGAATTTTTTAAAGGGTAAAAATAGCAAAATTTCAAATAACTTTTATATAAAGTTGCCTTTTGTCCCTTTTTAAAGAAAGCCAGTGTATTTTAAGCACCCTTTTAACTCTAAAGAGGGAATGTTTAACATGCTGAATGAATCTTATTTACAGTAGAATATAGTGTACTCAAGTGCTTTTTAATTTTAGAAGATACTGTCAGATTCATGATCAGGGATTAACACTAAGGTCACTTTAGAGCAGCCTTCCTAAACTGTCCAGGAGGATTACTGGAGCCTTCTCTATGTCTCCACAGCATTTAATACATACATCTCTCTTAGCACTCAGATTGGATCTTAACCTATGTACAAGTCTGTAAAAATACAGTAGAACCTCTGTAAATTAACAGCCCGAGGGACTACCACAAACTGATCAACACACAGAGGCGGTGAAAATAAAGAGCTGGGTTTACTGCACTGGACCGTGCAGTGTGGTCTATGAAAATTAGGTCCCCCCAGGAAGTGGTCAGTGAAGGGAGGGCTAGCCATGGAGGTTCCACTGTAGTGGCTAGGTTGTGAGCTCCTCAAAAGAAAGAAATGGTCCAATCTGTTTTCCTTTCCTACAGCCCATGGTTCAGCAAAGTACTTGGCACACATTAATGGTATCCTAAATAAATGTTTGTTCAAATGCTAACTGTTTATTTTCCTAAAAATAGATAGCTAACCACTTTAGCCTTAAGAAAAAGATGATTCCAGATCATAAAAATATTAAGTCTAATATAAGGATTCTAAGCAATACATTATATTTAAGGGAAAATAAGTTTAAAATTTAAGTATACTTAAAGCCTGTTTAAAAAAAAATCTGATGAAAATAAAATCAAAATCCTGGTTAGACAACTCAAATTTTGTCTTCTTCAATATTTGTGTTCTTCCATGCATAATAAGTGTTCTTACCAGTGACAGAGAAGATAATTCATCATGAACAAAAAAGGTTAGTCAACTGTCACACTGGTATCAAATGAAGTTCTAATGAAAAAGGACACCTGTTCCTTTAAATTTATAATGATACAACTTAATAGGATAAAATCACTGTCACCACAAAACTGCCACACAATGACGATACTGCGTAATTTAAGTGGTCATGACTTCATACAGGAATCTTTAAACTTTAGTATTCAGTAAGTGAAATGCTAATTCCTACATTCAAGTTTGTTGTCTTCAGCTATAGGTAACTGAGCTCTCTACCAGACCAGCAACATCTTCAACCAATATAATCCCTTAAGTCTTTAATCAAACAACAGCTTGCAAAAGTATTCATTTATGCAAAGTAGCCATTGCTTCTATTACAGAAACAGTAATGTGCCCTAAGAATATTCAGTTCATCTGATGCATGACAATCAGCAGATACTAATGATCTAAAAAAGAAAATTAGTTGTAATCAGCAGTGTACTTATTTTAGGAAGGTAAAAGAAGCGACTAAAATAACTTAAGTAACATTGTAATAGAAAATTGAGCACAAGCTCATATACAGAATAACATTTAGGGCAGGGGAGAAGTTGTATACAGATCCAGGTCTGACGATTAAGGGTGCTGTGTCCCATCAGGAAAGGTAAAACTGAAAGGAGCTCCTTCTCTGACAATTTCATCTACCTAAATCAAGGTGTGTTATACCAACTATGGAACAAGAACTACTTGCTAGGCACACCATTCCATAAAGTACTATACTAAATCCTTCTAAAAAGTGTCTATTCTCATTTAATACAACCATTACTTATCAAGCATCTATTTTATGACAGCAATTCAGACTGTAAATCAGATAAGGAAAATGACAAATAAAAAAAGAACAAAAGTGAAGCCCAGGCAAAGTCATTATAGTAGTTAGTTGAATACATATATTTTTAGGGCAGTCTAAGAAGATTGATCTAAAGTGCTTTTCAAAAAGTACTTGGAAGCTATTCTGAATCAGAAAATCCTACCAAAATTAAGCTTGGAAAAGTGCTGAACATAATCCAAGATGACTGCATCACATATCCATCCTTTAAAAGCTAAACAAGAATATAGCAGAGCATGCAATCATAAAAAAATCAGTGGTGTTATTAAGCATCAACTTCTCAGTGAACGACAATGTTTAAACTATACAGTGGAGTCAAATAAGTAACAAGACAAACTGAAAACATGCAATAATGTACTACAGATTCAACCTGAAGGCTCAAACGAAAGCTCAAGACGATTACCCCCAATTAAAGTGCCTTTGGGGTTGGAGAGTTTCAGTGGTTCCATTTCAGTGGTTCTTTAATTGAAAGGGAAATGATTTCTAAACCTAGGATGGAGTGTCTAAGAAAACACAGTGTGAGAAATTTCTGACAAGGAACAAAGGATGTAACACAGAACACTGGGAAAGAGAAATACAAGATTGAGAATATCTTATTGTGGTTTTTGTGAAAATCCCCTCAAGAGATTACATCTATACTTGATGAGAAAATAGCAGAAGTCAAAAGAATTGATACAGCTGGCCACAAAAACACAAAAGGAAAAACACTTCAGCAATGTATCTTAACCAAGAAAAAAAAGAGAACAGGAGAATTTGTTTTTCTCATCAAAAAATGAGAAAACTGTGGTGTGAATAAGGTTGTTAGTGAGAGAAACCTTTTAAATGTGGTAGATGATTTATAGAAATAAACAGTGAATCCAGGATAATTCAAAGATTTTTTTATTTCTTAAAGCGTCAGAAAAGCAAGTGCAATCAGAATATTAACTTATTAAGCAGGGTTCTGACTAATAAAAGCAGATCAAGGGGCCTTGAATTGGATAACATTTTTATGCTGGAAGTTCAGAAATGAATATCAATAGGTTAAGTATAGCATACACTTCTTCAGAGCAATATTTATGTCACTATTTTTTATGACTCTCCATAGTAATTAATATGTCCTTACATATAAATAATTTTAGTATGTTTTTAAATGGTATATGGGCCAAATTATTCAGTAAAATTTGCCAAATTAGAAAAAAATAGCATCAGTTGAGCTAGATTATAATACTTTTTAATCTGAAGACAGCATTTTGTGGGTTAACCCTATTTATGGTTATGGGCAATTTTTTTTATTTAACTGTCACATTATGACATTTAACTGTCATATTCAATATTTATAGTGAATATTTTGTCTTTATTAAAAACTCAGACTACATTCAAAATTGTAAAGACTCTTCCTATCAATCCCAAAAATCAAGCTCTATTTTTCTAGCTTCATATTATATTGATTACCTGATTTTTTTAGAGGCAGAGTCTCACTTTATCGCCCTTGGTAGAGTGCTATAGCAAGCATCACAGCTCACAGCAACCTCCAACTCCTGGCTTAGGTGATTCTCTTGCCTCAGCCTCCCGAGTAGCTGGGACCATAGGCATCGCCACAATGCCTGGCTATTTTTTTATTGCAGTTTGGCTGGGCTGGGTTTGAACCCACCACTGTCGGTATATGGGGCCGGCACCCTCCCCACTGAGCCACAGGCGCTACCACATCACCTTTTTAATAGCAACAAGAATCGAGGTGTAATATTCTAAATTCACTTACAAAATCATAAAATGAATAAACTTAGCATTTTAAATAATGAGAAATCACTGGTAACATGAAATAAAAAAAATTTTTTTTAAGACAGAGTCTTGCTCTGTTGTCCTAGCTAGAATGCAATGGAGCCATCACAGTTCACTGCAACCTCAAACCCCCAAGAGCTCAAATGATCTTCCCAACTAGCTGAGATGACAGGCAGCCATCACCATGCTCAACTAATTCTGTTTTTAGTAGAGATGGGGTCTCACTCTACAAATCTCCCTCCTTCACCTTCCAGAGTCTTAGGATTACAGGCAGGAGCCACTGTGCTCTATCAACACACAACTTTTAAGTAGCAACATCTTTTTTTTTTTTTTTAAGAGACAGAGTCTCACTTTGTTGTCCTCAGCTCACAGCAACCATTGTGCCATTGTGCCATGGTGTCACAGCTCACAGCAACCTCCAGTTCCTGGGCTTAGGTGATTCTCTTGCTTCAGCCTCCTTAGTGGGACTACAAGCACCCACCACAATGCCTGGCTGTTTTCTTGTTGCAGTTTGGCCAGGGGTGGGTTCAAACCCTCCACCTTCAGTGTATGGGGCTGTGCCCTACCTACTGAGCCACAGGCACCACCCAGCAACAACATTTTTAAGGGAGTAAATGTTTCTTCTGGGTCCTGAAAGATCTAGGGTTGACATTCTGGTGTCAAGTGCCTATTAAAATGAGGGCCCAACATTTTGTGTTGATCAGGTTTTTAGTGGCCAGCAACAAGCATTTAAGAGTTGAAATCTTGTTCATGTGCCAAGATTTTAGGATTCATAAAATTAGGAGAATGAAATAACTATGAATACTTCATACCTATTAGGATACCAGAAAATTTAAAAAAAAAGAAAGAAAGAAAGAAAGAAAAACCCAGAAAATAGTAAGTGCTGAGGATGTGAAGAAATCAGAAGTCATACGCACTGCTGTTGGGAATGTAAACCTTCTGTGAGAAACACTGTGGCAGTTTAAAGACAGAATTACCATAAGATGCAGCAAGTCCACTTCTAGTTACGAATTCAAAACAACTGAAAATCAGGAACTCAAACATATTTGTACATTGGTGCTCATAGCAGCATCATTCGTAGTACCAAATGGAGCAACCCACTGTCCATCAGTGGATGAACAAAATGTGGCACTTGCATACTATGGAATATTACTCAGCTCCCAAATGATACTCTAACACATGCTGCAAGGTGGAGGAACCTCGAAGATCATGCTAGGTGAACTGAGCCGGTCGTAAATGGAGGAATACGGTATGATTCTGCTTATAGGAGGCACCTAGAGCAGTCATATGCATAGAGACAGAAAGCAGAATGGTGGTTGAAGGGAAGAAGGGAGTTACTATTTAATGGGTATGGAGTTTCAGTTTGGAAAGATGAAAGCTTTCTGGAGACAGACAGTGGGGATAGCTGAAAACAATGCAAATGTACTTAATGCCAATGAACTGTACACTTAGAATAGGTTAAAATGATAAATTGTGTTATAAACATTTTACCAGAGTAAAAAAAAAATCAAAACATTTATGGAGCAAATATGTTGATTTTTAAAAAGAGAGGGAAGAGGAACCCTGTGCCTGATGATGTTGGGAGAGGCCATATAGTATGGTGGTTTAGGCTGGAATTCCTGAGCCAAGCTGCGTAGGTCAAATCCCAGCTCTGCTCTTCTTAGCTGAACAGTAATGAATCTCAACTTCTTTGTACCTTAAATCTTTTCTTTCGCAAACAATGATACATTTAAAGTGCTTAGAGTAATGCCTGGTATATAAAATCCTTGAGATAAATGTTAGCATTTGTTATCAAGAGAAATGAGCTTTAAGGTTGACTTTATAAATTATAGACCCTGACAAATACTTCATATATCCCTCTTCTGTCAGAACTATCTACAAGTTAATTGTCCCTAAAGCTCTCCTCTGTCACAAGATCCTCTGTACCACAGAGTCCTGATTAAGGACAGGCCAAGGGGAGCAGTTCTAGGGAATAAAGTCATGATATGATAACTTATTCAAGTTATCAGCCCACTTCCATATGTGGTACAAAAAAGAGTATTAGTAATTGTAAAGTACTATGTTCCTGGTTTTATTATCTCTTGCATAGAGGATATGAATAAATATCAATAAATACTGGAATCTATTTAAACTTTTAATTCTTTGGTCTTTTATTTCCATAACTAATTTCACTCATTGCTATTCTAGCCTACGTGTATCTAATTCTAAAGATATTTTCAATCCAGAAATCACCAATCATGTTTTCTCCAGCTCTTCTATCTCCCTTGCCCCCATGCTGGTCAATCCTCAGACTCGTGGGCCTCTCTCAGTCGTCTGACACATCTCTCTTCTTTGGAGACAGGGCATCCATTGGCTCTCCTAACTTTTCAGCTGCTTCTTCCCTACCTCCAGTCTGGGTTCTACCTAGTTGCTGACACAGGCCCCACCCAGTGTGGTAACCGTCTCCCACTCTTTTTCTTCACAGCTAACCATGAGGGACACAGATAATGTCATGGCTTCATCTATCATTTCCTTTGTGATGACTTAAATCTACCACTTTGTGCTAATCCTGTTATTTCTGGTAGTTGAAAGACAGTTTCATAATTCCACCCCGTAGCTAACTTCTCTCAAAACTGTGGTCTGCACTGCCAATTGTCCTCACAGCAGTTCCCATAAAACACAGGCAACAACTGGCTTGGCGCCTGTGGCTCAAGTGGCTAAGGTGCCAGCCACATACACCTAAGGTGGCGGGTTCAAATCCAGCCCAGGCCCACCAAACAACAATGATGGCTGCAACCAAAAAATAGCCAGGCGTTGTGGCGGGCGCCTGTGGTCCCAGCTACTTGGGAGGCAGAGGAGAGTTGCTTGAGCCCAGGAGTTGGAGGTTGCTGCGAGCTGTGAGGCCACGGCACTCTACCCAGGGCAATAGCTTGAGGCTCTGTCTCAAAAAAAAAACACAGGCAACATCTGTTCCTTTTCCTGAAGAGTCTATAATGGTTCCAACGTAATACTGAAATCAGTTTTAGTCCCTTCCCAGAAGCCAGGTAAGTCACAATAGCCCAGAGGCTCTTCTTCTCCAATATCCATGGTAACTACTATACATATGTTAGCTTCCCCTCATCAATAGTTGTCACCTGGCAAGATTTTGGCAATCCATGATACATTTTGTTGAATGGCTAACAGTTTATATGTATAAATATCTTCTGTTCAACAAGACAGCAACTTCCTTAAAAAAAAATTGTTTCTAGGTCTGGGTGCGGTGGCTCACTCCTGTAATCCTAGCACTTTAGGGGGTCAAGGCACGTGGATTACCTGAGTTCACAGGTTCAAGACCAGTCTGAGCCAGAGCAAGACCTTATCTCTAAAGAAAAAATAGCCGGGCATTGTGATGGGTGTCTGGGTCCCAGATACTTGGGAGGCTGAGGAAAGAGCATAGCTTGAGACCAAGAGTTTGAGGTTGCTGTGAGCTGTGATGCCAAGGTCTACCAAGGTCAACAAAGTGAAACTCTGTCTCAAAACAAAAAACAAAAACTGTCTAAAATCTCTTTAAGCCAACCAAAATTGGAAGAGATATGTTATTAAGTTGGAAAAGAAAGAAAGAAAAGTAACATTCCATTTAAAAGGCAGAAAAGGTAAATTCTGGGAGCAACTATGGGGGCAACTTGGGGCTCTAGCCAGCCACGGAAGAACTATTTATTTAATAATAACTATTAAAATACTATTTGGTTAACATTTATCAGCATTAATTTTCCATCTTTTCTTATATAATGGCAAGGTAGTTTTAACATTTGTAACTCTGGGGATGCTTTATAATCTAAATTTTTTCCTGCTACAATAAAACTTTGAGAATTATTTCATTGTTAGGATAAATTATCTTTAAGAATTATATATATTATATATACCATATAACATGAGTAATATATCATATATAATGCATGACATAATATATGTAATATGTTATACAGCACATAATATATGCATAATATATTATGTATAATATGTGGTATATGTAATAAATATATACTATATATGTACCATATAATATATAAAGTTTTTAGATATATGAATGGACTCATGCGTGTATATAGAGAGAAAGAAATGGTTTCTAGATCATTAAAACCAATTACATCATTAAAACTGGGGATCTAGGGGGAATGTTTTCTTCTAAAAAACCCCCATATTTGAGTTAGAAATTTAAATACTAATGTATATGTGATTAGATATATTTCTTTAATTTGTTATGGGAAAAATTTGCTTCAATTAATATATGGAAACTTCCTAAATAACAGTAACTTATAAAACAATGTTTAAATTGGTTCACTAAAACTGTACAAAATGTTTGATCTTAAAAAATAACAATTAAGACTAAAATAATGCTGACAAAGAAAATCAGAAGATGAGAAATACCAGATTAGATCTTGCAGTGTAGTATATTTCTTCTGAACTGTCGAAAAAACCATCACTGTCGGGCTGTTTAGCAGAGACCAAGAAACCCAAGTTATTTACACTTAGACTAAAAGCCACAAATTCACAAAGGGAAACTTTCACAAATGAAGTTAAGTCCTGCTAACATAATTTTATTAAGGCAAATGGAAAGTCAAATTATAGTAAGTAGCTTCTAAGAAAAGCAACATTGCAACAACTTTGCTCTATAATGCAGTTACTAAATTAGTATAAAATTTAAATACATGCAATGCCAACTTAAAAAAAGAAACAGAAAATAAACTGCCTTAACAAAATACAATTAGCATTTATAAATATCATGACTACTTTTTCTTCTTAATCTTCTCCATCCCTCTCCATAAATGTCAGGTTTTAGTATTAGAAGATAATTTAAAGACAAACTTTTTCTTTCATACTCTTTCCCTCCATGCTGGTATGCTGACTTATAACTACTCCATCAGACAAAGGCTGACTCCCTTGGTATGCTTTAGTTAAGTGAGTTAAAATAACATTATAGTTAAGAAGAAAGTTCCCACTTTAATCCTTAGTACTTACTAACAGTTACTTTCTTCTCACTATTAAATAGCAAAGGGAAAAAAGTGAAACAGATGGAATCTGGAGTTCTGGCAAAGTAATATCATCAGGATTCATTTTGTTTTTTTTAATATCTCATTTTTTATTCTTTCATAGAATATTAACATCTCAAATATTTGCAGAATGTTTTGCTTCTAAGACCATACCTAATATATTATCAGGTATATATTATATTTCATATATCTGAAAGGGGCATTAAAGGATCATGAAAAGAATATTCATACAGTTATAAGCCTCAAATGAATGAAAAGTTTGCTATACTACGTATGTATGCTTCATCTTCCTGAGTTGTAGTACTCTAAACACACCTGACTCTACTGATGCTTAGAAACTATGGCAGTTATCCTAATAAAAACATACCCTGAAAACCCCTCAAAAATGGAAAAAAAATGACAAAAATAATTAAAAGGTTAATGTTTTTAAAAGTTAAAAACATTTAGTTAGAGAATGGTAAAACTAGAAAGTTCCTCCTAGAATAGTTTTTAAAATATTGAATCTCAGCAACACAGATTTATTTATTCTGAATTTTAGAATTACTTACCTTTTCGATTCCCCAAATGCTTTTGAAAATATTAATGACTAGCTTTTTTATTCAGTACTAATATCTTAAATAGATTAATTAAAACATTTATTTTCAGTCTTAACATTCTAAGACTACACTACTTACAAGTTCATGATGTGGTTCTGTCTCCTTCCTTAAGGGAGGATCAAATTTTACTTGGCCAACTGAAAAAGAAAAAAAGTAAAGCCAGGATCTGTTCCTATGTTCTTAATGATGTAATAATTTAAAAAGTTACTCCACAGCAAGACACATTTAATTTTACTGTCTACCATATACTGGTCACAATTCAAAGATTTTTACTTTATTTGTATTTTTAGAGAGAGAGTCTCACTGTGTTGTCCCAGGCTAGAGTGCCATTGTATCATAGCTCACAGCAACCTCAAATTCTTGGGCTCAAAGGATCTTCCTGCCTCAGCTTCCCAAACAGCTGGGACCACAGGTGCTCACCACATTGCCCAGCTAGTTTTTCTATTTTTAGTAGATACACGGTTTCACTCCTGCTCACGCTGGTCTCGAGCTCCTAAGCTCAAGCTCCCTACACACCTAGGCCTCCCAGAGTGTTAGGATCACAGGCATGAGCCACCATACCATGGATACATAACAGTTATAGATATATTAATAACGCATACGATGCATAATGACCAAAATGGCAATTAAGCTATTTATCACTTCAAACAGTTATTTTCATATGTAGGTCATATTCCGAACCATCCAGCTAGTCCAAAATATACAATAAATTATTGTTAACTATACTGCTATTGAACACTAGAACTTATTCCTTCTAACTAACCTTTCTTCATCAACCCTGCTCCCTTCCCAGCCTCTGATAACATCATTCTACTTTCAACCTTAATGAGATCAATATTTTTAGCTACCACATGTGACTAAGCATAAGTGATATTTGTCTTTCTGTACCTGGTTTATTTCACTTAACATTCTGACCTCCAGATTGTCAATGTTGCTGCAAGTGAGAGGGTGTCATTCTTTTTTATTGCTGAAATGTATGCCATTGTATATGTGTACCATAGCTTCTTTATCTACTCATCTGTTAATAGACATTTAGGTTGATTCCATATCTTGGATACGGAAAATAGTGCTACAGTAAACACGGAAGTGCAGATATCTCTCTGTTACAGTGATTTTGTTTCTTTTAAATATATATCCAACCAATGGGACTGCTGGATCATATGGCTGTCCCATTCTTAGGTTTTGAGGACCCTCCATACTGTCTTCCATGTGGCTCTACTAATTTACATTCCCACCAACCATGTGTGAGAGTTCTTTTTCTCTGCATCCTGCTATTTTTTTGCTTTTTGATCATAAACATGTTACCTTGGAATGAAACAGTATCTCATTGTGGTTTTGATTTGCATTTCCTTTATGATTAGTGAGGTTGAACGTTTTTTCATATACCTGTTAGCCATTTCCAATCCAAATATTTAAATAAACAACCTGCTAGCTGGAAAAACCCAAGAAAATCTTAAAACTGTTAAAGCTTAATATGTTAATCCTAGGCCTTTTCCATAGCAAAAAAAAAAAAAAAAAAAGTGAACAAAATTACACAGTATGATATATCATCAGGATTTCACATGGTATGTTACAAAGTTAGTAAGTGAAAAAGGTCTTGGTTGTACATAAAATAGAGACGATCTGAACTCAGTATTTAAGCGGGTAGGCAGTGGTTACCCTAGAGTACTTATGGAAGGCAGCCTATAGGAAAGCCCCCAGTGTTCACAACACGTCCACATGGGATCAGGGTTGGTCAGTGTGATGGAAAGAACATAGCAGAAGCAATGGTATCCTGTTTCCAAGATTCGGCTTCTGTCATGGGCTCTCTATGCTGGGTCACTTGCTCTACAGTCCCCAACATCTGGGCAAATGAGTCCATTTTTACACATAAGGCTAACTCAACACCATTTAGTTAAAAGAAAACACTGGTTGCACAGAGAAGCATCAAGTAATGGTAAACGCAAAGCGTTATCAAAAGGAATACCATTATTATTTTTCCAAAGGCTGCCTTCATAGATAATAGAATTAGTGAGCATTCTCTTATATATCATGTCTCACATGAAATTATAAAACATTCTGAAAAGAAGACATTTGTTAGAGCACAGAATAAGACTTGACAGCCTCAAATTCCAAACCCACAAATTATTACAAGTAGTTGCTTTAATCCTCTTGCTACCTCAACGTACCAGAGGGCTATGACACCCACATTACTGGCAAATGGGAAAAAGGGAGGTGTTCATTATGTATCACTTGCTCTCACCAAAAGGAGGGCCTATCAGAATCTCAGAAGACTGAGATAAAGCTGTCTAGTTTCCAAAAGCATACACATGCATAAGCACTGAGACGCTGAGAACCACTGATATGTGTGCAGTTTAGTACAGAGGGATAATAGCCACCCTTTCTAGTAGAAAGGGCCTGGAAATAAATTTTAATAGATTCAGGTAACAAGATAGAAGGCACTTTAAATTAGATTTTCAATAGTACTGAACACATAAAGTTTTAATAATCAACTATGAAACACCTCTAATTACTTCCTATATATTAAAGAAATGTTAAAGACATTTCATGATTACTTTTTGTATATTAAAAAATAATGGGAAATGCTCTTGTGTGCCAAGGTTGCCATTTTCAGAAAGGAGAAATTAGGAAATTTAAATCCCGCTTTAAATTTTAAAGCTTCAGAAGAAACTTTAAAAATAATCTTATATGGTCACACAACTAATTGTTGGCAAACTACCAAATCCCACTCCTGGGTTTTTGATATAAGTCACTATGCTTTCTTTCTGGAGTTTCCTCCTTTAAGAGCATTTATGGATATCACAAGCACAAAGCTTTATCAAGAACTTAATATACATTGTACAGTCTGGTCAAAACGCTCAGGGAAGGTTCACAAAGAACTCAAATAACTCCCAGTGTAAAAGCCATGTAACATGTATATTGAGGTGGTTCCTGAAATAAAGCAGGGTTTGTGAAAAACCAGCGAACTGGACGGAGGTTGAGAGATGTACAACTGGCTGTCAACTCACTGGATGACTCAATCCCACTGCCAATCTCTTCATCTTCGCATTCCTTTTTATTCCTCCTATCAAATGGTGATAGGGCCTGTCCCTATTTACCTTACCTGGATTTTGAGATGAAGAGATGGATTCATCTTAATTAAACTTGAGATAATTATTAGTACTGACAGTAGTCATCTTAATGTTACGGTTTACCTAGTTTCACTGAGGTCATTTTGAATTTCAAGTCCTTTGTGATAAATCTTTAGCTCACAGAAAACTATTATCATGAGCCCGACTGCATTAAATTAGCATTTTAAGTCACTGGGAGTAAGTGCTTTTAAGGAATAAAAACTTAAGGCAGTATTGTTCCAGGAATTCCTGCTGGCACAGTATCAGTGATGCACTGACTGTATTAATTGTCCTGGGCAGTCTTACGTTTGTCTCAGGAGGTCCATGACTTGGCTGCTCATAAGCATGGAGCCTTGGAGGCCTATTTTAAAAGGTTTCTTGGGCCAACCCAGGACATATTAAATTAAATTTTAAAAAGTGGGGCCTGAGAATCCATCTGAAAAGCTCCCAGGCTCCTCAGCAGTTTAGCCAGTTGGCACTGAAATTCCTGATGGTCTCTGGACCATTAGTACACACATAACCTGGATGCTTGTCAGAAGCAAAGGCTCTCAGATCCCATCCCAGATCTACCCCAGCAGAAGCTACACTTTAATAAGCTCTCTAGGTGAGTTACGTGCACATATGAGTTTAAGAAGAATTGCCTGATTACTCCCATCCTGCTTATTCCAAAAATTTTATTTCTTCTCCCAAATAGTTAACAACATAAATATACCCTATAGCCCTGCCACCCAAAATTCCATAAGAATAAGGAAAATGAAATTTTTACTGCTCTAATTAAACTATAACAGTGTTTCCTAAGAAAACTATTTGGAAGAAAAGAAACTGTAACTAAATTATAATTTGAAATCTTATTTTCTGTTGTTAAATTATGAACTGTGCATACTATAGACTTACAGTTTATCTCTGAGCGTGTTTTTTCTTCTCTCACATTTCTGCTTGTTGAGTGAATTCTATGTGGTACGGCAACAAGTGGCTAGAATAGAATGAAATCAATATACGGCATGTGATAATCAAGTCAGTTTGGTCCATGAACTTACCCAAATACGAAGAAATACTTCATTTTAAGTAAAAATCGAAACAAAATATAACAACTTTACAAATATTATAATAAGGACAATCAGATCCACAGCTCAAACTATAAAGGTGAAAATGTGTTTTTATTATCCACTTAACATAAATCATTATTTGTACTATAGAGAGCACTTGTGCAACTAGATATAATACATAAGAAATTAAACACAAGATAATAATGTATTCTGATTTTTTTCCACAGAGATTGGGTCTTGTTCTGTTCACTAAAGCCTCAAACTCCTGGGCTCAAGCAATCTTCCCCTCTGAAAGAAAGGAACTTCTGAAGGGAAAGATAACAGCGTAAAGACTACCATTTGTAGCTATCATTTGGTGATGACAACTCAGAAGCCTTTTCTTGTAAGGTTTATACATCAACCTAAATTTTTCAAAAATAATGTTCAAAACACACATATACACATACACACATTTATAGATCATTAGGAGATAATGGTTTGTACTTTGCTCTTTGCCACAATTTGAATCACAAATGATTCAAGTAATTGTCAAAAACCATATAACTTAGGTAGACTCACAGCATTTTATGTTTTTCAGAAGACTTTTTCATTAAAAAAGTGCCTTTCTCTGTTTCTCTCAGTTATAGGTATACCATTATAATTTCTATGAGCAGGAAACATGGTAATATTCAATTCTTTTCCTTTAAAGAAATCTTTCTAAAGAAGACTTATACCCTGTAATAATTTACAGAACCTAACTAGTTAAATGTGATCAGAGTATTGGTAAACTTAGTCTGCATGTCTCAATATGTGATTTGTCAAGGGTTCCAACATCAGAAAAAGAGTAAACCGAAAAATACGATTTAAGGAAACCCTAGCATGTCAGGAACAAAATGGATACACATTTCAGTAAGTTAAATGATTATAAAAAGAAAGACTAAGTAGGCATGTCCTAGAAACCAGATTCCATCTTTGAGAACAGAGGTGAAGTACAGACTTGGCTGAGCCTTCCTTTCACATATACTATTTCAGATAGCTGGATAAGCAAATAGTGTTTTTTCCAAAAACCCAAACTGAAAAGAAAATATTTCATGTACGAAAGGAGAAAGAGATGCCAACAAATTCTGTATAATGGGGCCAAGGCAATGAAGGATGCCGGCCCTGAAATTAAAGTAGGCAGTATCATGTTAGGCACAATCTACCGTGATGCCAAAGAATTTGTTATGTAACAACAGATTTTGCTTAACTTCTCTAGAAAGGGTTTACATTTATTAGAATTTCCAATAAACAGAAGTGATTCTAAACTAATTCATCTGAACTTAAAAAGCTGAAGCTCTAAAAGGATATCCTTTAGTACCATTCAATCCGACAAAGAACATGTAGATACATGCCAGAAAGTAAGCTCTAATTTCTAAACATGAATACTCTCACTTTCCTCTATAAATGTTAACACACACTAGTCATGGAAATCTGCTATGAGGAGTTTATAATCACTCTAGTAAGTGATATTTAAAGAAGTGATGATAAATATATTTAAAGAAATAAACTGTTCGTAATGATGCATGATTTCCAATGTTTTTTTTCAAACAATGCTTTATGTACCATTAACCTGCATGTACTAATGCATAAAAAGGTTTAAATCTTTTTATGTTTAAAAATCACAACCCCACTCTTCTAAACTCACTCTTCTAAACTATTTCATGCTTATTCAAGTTATTATAATTCTAAAGTTCAGTCATCAAATAAAACAAGTAACAGGCCCTTTGCAATGGTAGCTAGCTGGGATTGTATGGAATGAAGGAAAGACAGACAGTATGATAAACCTTAGTTAACATAAGCAAGTGGCTTCTGGCCAGGGACAATTTTGTTGCTGGGGAGACATTCGGGGATATCTGGGGACATTCCTGGTTGTCATGGCTGGAGATCAAAGGTTGCTACTAGTAATTAATGGAAAGAATCCAGGGATGTTGCCCCAATATACAGGGCAGCCAGCCACTACAACAAAGGATTGTCTGGCCCAAAATGCCAACAGTGCTCAGTTTGAGAAATCCTGCTATAAGAAAAAACAAAAGCACTTGGTTTCTTCTTCTAGGTCAAGGATTAGAAAACTGTGGTCCCTGTAAATTCCCACTGCCGTCTGTTTTTGAAAATAAAGTTTTACTGAAACACAGCCATGTCCCGTCACACATTATCTATAGCTACTTTCACTCCACACTGAAGAGTTCGTAACCATGAAAGAGGACAAAGTGGCCCACAAAGCCAAACATATTTGTCTGCTTTTTATGAGAAAAGTTTTCAACCTCTGTTCAAGGTCAATCATCTAAGACAAGTGAGTTGTAAAAGTTATTTAGCTTTATCAAATTTATTTTTAGGTCCTTAGCTTTTTTAAGCCTACAACTACAAATTACTTACATTTTTAATACAACAACAAAGAAATCACCCCAGCCACACACACACAATTTTCTCCCTTATATTTGCAAGGAATTTTGGGAAATATGAGAAGCAAGACCATATTAAATTATTTCTTCATTCTACATACAGGTTGATCCTTGAGTAATATGGGCTTGAACTGCATGGGTTCCCTTGTATGTAGATTTTTTTCAACCAGATTCAGACTGAAAATATATTATTGGGGGAAGTGAAAGCCGCATGTACAGAGGGCCGACTTCTGCACATGGGCTCTGCAGGGCTTGCTGTCAGATCTGACGATGTGTGGATTTTGGTATATGTGGGGTCTAGGAATTAATCCATCTTAGGGCAACTGGATACTCAAAAATTTTTTTTTTTTTAAGAAAGACAACTGTTATTATTTCTCCGCCTTTTGGCTAAGACTGGGTGTAGAAAGATAACTGTTAATGACAGTAAAAATCCAAGTAAACTTCCTTTTAAAGTTCTAATGAATATTCCAAATATTTCTACAGTATAAATATTACATATTGTAAGCCATTATTTAATGTAAAAAAAATTCATTTAACTACAACTTAGCGGATAAGAACCTAACCAAATGCAAACATTTATATATTTGATGCACTCTCTTAATCATATGTTAGCCTGTCTTGATTACACTTGTTTTTGCATGAATCTTATTTAATAATAAAGACTCTGTTTAAACATTTCTAAAATTTATGAAAGCTGGTGTATTTGACCATTGAGATATGGAGGTTGGCTATTGTTTCTATCACTTTTTACATGAGTTTTTTAAAGTCTCTAGTGCTTTAACATGACCTTTCTTCTTTAAACTGTGGTCTTTCCTAAACCTTCCTGTTGGCCGCGCCTCTCCAACAATGCCAATTCCTTTGTGGCACTGTCTTTGACTTCCTTAGCAAAAACTCACTGTTTTTCCTACTCACCCCTCTAACTATGCATTTCTCAAGACTAGGAAATATATTTTATTTATAGCAGGCCCCCAACAAGTAATTCACATAGCTGAATAATATTCAAAAATTAAATATTTTAATAATTAGCTGTTTAAATGCTACAACTTAGCTTCCCCCTGTTGCAGAGGAGAAAATTGTTATTTATTTATTTAAATTTTTTTTAGAGATACGTCTCACTCTGTTGCCCTGGCTGGAGTATAATGGCGTGATCACAGTTCACTGCAGTCTCTAAGTCCTGAGCTTCACCCTCTTACCTCAGCCTCTTGAGTAGTTAGGAATATAGGTGCATCCCACCACACCTGGCAAAGTTTTTTTATTTTTTTGTACAGAGGGCATCTTGTTATGTTGCCTAGGCTGGTCCTAAACTCCTGGCCTCAAGTGATATTTCCACCTTGACCTCCCAATGTGCTGGGATTATAGGTGCGAACCATTGCACTTGGCTGAAAGTCACAATTAAAAAAAATAAATTGCCTCAAGACAATGGCTTGAACCCCAGAATTTAAGGTTGCTGTGAGCTGTGACACTATAGCACTCCACCCAGGATGACAGAGTAAGACTCTGTCTTAAAAAAAAAGGTAAAAAATTTTACCTCAATTTCTTACATTAAAAGAATAAGACAAATAGAATGAAATGATACTAAAGACATCAATGATTTATGGTCTTTTTTCTTAGTAAAAGAAAAAAATTTTCCCCCTTTATGTTGTTTCTGAAGAAGCAGCCTTCTATTTTCTTTCCTTTTCATATAGAAATATTCTGAAGGTAGCTGAAATAGGAATGAGTTCTTCTACTTAATAATTCATGAACATTCCTCCAACCTTTGGAAGACAAAGAGGCCCTATTTAAAAAATTTTTGAGCCTCATCCTAAATATTCCAAGGTCTCATCTTAGGAGAAGATGCCTATATCTATTTAATGCAGTTATTGCAACATCCAATAGCGCCCTCTGTGTGTGAAACACGACCTTTGAAGCTATTACCTCTGAAGGACACACATTCTTAGACCTACCTTTGTAGACAATATAATACATAAACATTGAGTTCTAATTTCTTAGATTCAATAAGACAGATCGGGAACAGACTCAAGTTAACTATTCTCAGCGTACGTACATCTCAGGAAACAAAAATATATAAATCTAAAAGACCCACATTTTAAAATACTTCTGGTGGGGCCAGGGGTGGTGGCACACACCTGTTATCCTCTCAGCACTCTGTGAGGTCGAAGCACCTGGATCCCTTGAGCTCAGGAGTTCGAGAGCCTAAGCTAGAAAGAGACCCCATCTCTAAAAATAGCCAGGTGTTGTGGTGGGCACCTGTAGTCCCAGCTACTCAGGAGGCTGAGGCAAGAGAACCGCTTGAGCCCAAGAGTTTGAGGTTGCTGTGAGCTATGATGCCATGGCACTCTACCCAGAGTGACTGAGTTAGACTCTATCTCAAAAGATAAATAAATAAATGAATAAATAAATAAATAAATTAAGTAACTTAAGATGATGAAACAGTAACAAAAGTAATTAGGTACTTTAATGTTACATGTGGACAATGCTCTGTAGTTTTCAAAGTATTTTCCTGAATCATATCTCATTATGTCCTCAAAATAAACTTGTATAATAAGTATTATTCTTCATTTTATAGATGAGGGCACTGAGACTCAAAAGTAAGTGACAGGGCATTCAGCTAGCTAGCCAAAGCTGAGAAAAACACTGAATTTTGATCATAATCTATAGTAACAAAAAACAAAAACACCAGGTATCATACAGGTTAGTCATATAGACTGTTACAGGTAAACATGGATGAAACCATGATTATCTGTGAGAATTTTAGTTTCCCAGTCTAAACGGTAAAAACCATGAAATTATTAAATCTTATAACACTTATATAGCAAATTAGTTAACATATAGAAGAAAATTCTATTAAGTAAAAATCAGAATTATAATTACTCTGGTGTATAATTGCTTCTATAATAGAAACTATGTGGCAACTCAACATTAAAAAGTCAAACTTTCTTCCAAAAGTGTGTTACCTATAAAAAATTTAAACTAAAGTAGACTTAGCAGATATGTTCATTTTTCTTTTTTTTTTGTTTGAGACAGGGTCTCACTTTGTCACCTGGGCTAGAGTGTAATAGCATCACCATAGCTTACTACAAGCTCAAAATCCTGGTCTTAAGTGATCCTCCTGCCTCAGCCTCCAGTTGAGACTACAGGTGGGCACAACCTCACCTACCTAATTTTTCTAGTTTTTGTAGAGATGGGGTTCCCCTTGGTTGTCCAAGCTGTTCTCATACTCCTGGCCTCAATCCCCCACCTCCTAAAGTGCTAGGAGGTCAGAGTTTGAGCTGCCACGCCTGGCCTAGATACGCTAAACATTTTTTAAGAATATTCATGATAGGTTTAGTATCACAGCAAGTGCTGCAATACTAGTTAGATACATTCACATTCTGAATGACAATGCTGCACTTAGCAATCATGAATCGTTTGCAAATAAAAAAGATTATAAATTTTTCTGGGAAAATAGTATCTTGAGATATGGTGAGAAGGTAAGTATCCTCTCCCTCTACTCTACCTCTGGAATAATTAGATTTCTTTGTTATTTTTTTACCTATTTACCATACAGTTATAACAATTTATGATTATATTAACAAAAACATCTTGATAAAGAAAAATTTCTTTCCCTGCCATATAAGAAAGCTTCAGAAAAATTTTCATTGCACAAACTGTTCTGATAAGATGCTTCAAAGATATTTGGTTTATTATTTCTCTTCTTTGAACATGTTTTTAAAAGGATGCTATGACTCAGTATGACAAGTAAATAGGGTGAGGTAAGAGACGAGGAGGCCGCATTTAGCATATGGAAAAGAGTTACAGGCAGTCTTCATTTTGCAGTTTTGATATGTACGAATTTCAGTTGCTAAAATTTAGTTAAATAATACCAGTTCCCTACAACCTGGGTTCAAATCTCATTTACCACAGTGTATTAAATGTGATCACATAAAATACAAACTTCGCTTAGAAATAATACCAGTTCCCTACAACCTGGGTTCAAATTTCATTTACCACAGTGTATTAATTGTGATCACATAAAATACAAACTTCACTTAGCTTTTTAGTCTACAAATCACTACGTAAATAACAGATGAGGGGCCGGTGTGCTCCCACCTAATAGGTGCAATGTAAGGGTGTATGGCACGTCTCCTGGATGCAGGACACAACCACAACAGGGACTTTACCTAACAAATGCAAACATTGTAACCTAAGTGTTTGTGTCCTCATATTAACCTGAAATAAAAAAAAAAAATAGATGCACATCATGATGATTACAGAGGAAAATTAGAAAGAAATATGATAATTTGCCAAGGCATATTGTCATATCCAGAAAAGATACTCACTGTAAGACAAAGACTCACTTTTTTAGTGAGTATCTAAAAAGAAGATACTCACTGTAAGACACCTCTCATATGATGAGAAGGTAGGTAGTATGCAACCCAGTTGATAAGCAGACAACTAGATAAGTAAAAAATCTGCATGTCTTTAAAAAAGGAAATGAAACATGTTAATTCCAGGTGGTTCTAATATTTATAGTGTACTGTAAATAAATAATAGCTTAACTATCTTTTTTTCCATTCTCCTATACACTTACAACTAACAGTAACATAGTTTTTAATGTTTTGACAAAATGTTTCAAAGGTCATAAAACAACTGTAATTTTTCCCAGTGATTAAGGCTGTTTTACAGGGTTTCAGCTTACGTGGTCATTTTTTTTTCCAGGTTAATATGGGTGCACATAGGATTAGATTATAATATTTGCATTTGTTAAGGTTGCAGGTGAGTCCTTCACCCAGGAAATGTGCCATTTATCACTATATTGCATAGGTGGGGACTTACTGAGGCCCATCCCCCCTCCCCGAATTTAATTGTGTTTTTCTCTGATGTAGGCCTATAGTTGTTGATCTACAATTTTCAGATCACGTGGGATGCTTGCTTTTCTACTCTGGAGATACTTTACTTCAGAGAATGTTCTCCAAATCTATCCAGATAAATACAAAAAATGCAAAGTCTCCATCTTTTATGGCTGAACAGCATTCCATGATATGCATATACCACAGTTTATTAATTCATTCATGGGCTGATGGGCACTTGGGTTGCTTTCACATCTGTGTAATTGTGAATTGAGTTGCTATGAACATTCGAGTGCAAATGTCCTTACGGCAAAATGATTTTTTTTCTTACCCTGTAAAGGGACTGCTGTTTACATAGTCATTTTCATAGTTCCATACTACCATGCAAATCTATATATTGATTAAGAGTAGAAGAGTTTATAAAACCTAAGTTTTTTAAAAACAAAATTAAGCAAAACAAAAAATAATTTTCTCTCTAGTGTAATGGTAAGGTCAATACTGCCTTAAATTTCTTAAGTTTTTATGTTCCAAACTCCTTTGCAGAGAAAGGACAAACAGCTTATTTATCAGAGTTGTACAAAGATAGTAAGCTGGAACAATGCTTAGTTGATAGAAAGGTTCTCTCTGATTTACAATAATCTGTGACCATTTTCTAACCACTGAAAGGTATCATTCCTTCAGTATCGTCAATGAAATTTAGCACATTTTTAAGTGCATTCCATAAAGCCAGTAGAGTTCAAGTACATCTACTCTTTATACAGATCCCGTAAGAGAATTCTGTCATGCCTTATATACTGAGCTTATCATGGGTGCTAGGAATGTTTAATACACTAACAGAAGTGAGGCTTCCATTAATATCAGTGCTTCTACCAGGTTAGGGTTAGTCTTTAACAACTAGACTGGCTCATTTTTCAACATTTCAATAACGGATAATTAGAGTTTTAGTCACCAAAAAAGTCAATCCTACACTTGATGAGTCTCTAATAACTCATGAAGTATGTAAGAGCATTCTTTTTGAGAAGCAAACTGGGGAGAAATTTTGAGTATTCCTACATTTTGTCTAGGTGCTTCCTTCCCATTTGTCTCCCCCTTTTGTAGTGGATGATTCATTTGGCAAGTTCATCTAAAATGACTGCTTTTGAAATAATTACAGTAATTTCAACAAGTGGATTAAATGATCTGCCTTTGCCATTTTCAGACAATAGTCACCTGTAAGTAGCCAATAAAAAAAAAATCTACCACATTATTTCCCAGGAGGGACAAAGTCAGAGAACGAATTGTTCCCTCAAGAGTTTTAAAATTTAAACTAGACCCACAAGTTTTAAGACTTGATTGAGATGTCCATATATACATTCATAAAACACACACACACACACACACACACACACACTATATACGTCAGTTAGAAAAAACAATTCCTACCTCAGGATCATCATCATCGAAATCATGATAAGTGGAATGATCTGGATTATTCACTTTATCCAACAGCTCAATTGCCAAAGACCGTGTCAAAGGCTGTGTGACAAAAGGGTGCTACAAAAATAAAATAAGTACAAAACACTTATTAGAAGTCTGATCAAATGATATCTTTGGAAAAAATATATATGTATTTTAGGGCAAAAATAATACCTGTAATAATTTTTCAGCAGTAGGTCTTTTTTTTGGATTTTTGGTAAGTGCCATTTTCACAAAATGATGAAAACTATTTGACCTAAGAAATTTTGAAAATTAGACTTTCACATTTGAATAATTTTTTGCTCATCTTACTATAAAAGTAAATAACACAAAAATACTTACCATTTCATTTTATCCTTTAGTTTAGGAGGTTGAAAATTGCTTTTTGTCATTAGAAATAATGCTCTGAAAAATTAACAAATCATTACACAGAATTTTAACATTTTATATTTCAACATAAATATAAATTCTATTAATATTTATTCCCATATAAGGGAAAGCAAGACAAAGAACATTATTTGTTCATGACAAAATAAGTAATACTAAAAGGAAGAGAAGCTTAATTCAAGCCTAGGGTTCTCCAGCCGTGTGGCGCACTGACCTCATTGGGTGCAAGTCAAACATGGGAGGCTGCAGCTCAGCGAGCTCTATGGCGGTGATCCCCACAGCCCAGAGATCACACAGCTGGTTGTAACCGCCCTTCCTCTCAACTGCTGCGACCTCTGGGGCCATCCTGAAAGAGATATTTCAGAGAAGAAAAACCTTCTGGCTACCCTACTTTCCTTCATACTTCCCCAGGAGTACATGGAATTAACACTGCCTCAATTAAGGAACAGTTAGGCCTTGACTTCTGAAAAATAAAAATACATAGCACTTAAAAGGTTCACCTTTTCCAAGATTTTGACATCTCACTAGACCTTCTACCCCAAGTCTCTACTGGTGATTTTTTTTTTGCTAACTTCACTATACCACTTACTAAGATTTATAAAAGTATACAATTAAAATAGAGCAATATGCCCAAAGTTCATCCTCACTCCCAATCTCATTTTCTCTATACATATAAAATTCTATAAAGAAATAACATTTGCAATAAATAATCTATAATTTTAAGCTCTACCTCCTGTATTAAACTGCAAGCTGGCCTCTGTTCTCAATTCCCTAAAATTATTCCTTGGGCTACCAATAATCTTCATATTTAGTATTTAATTCATATTTACTATAAATTTATTGGCACTTTTTCAGTTTTATTATAATAATGGAAAAGTTGAGTATCTACTTTTTAAAAATATATTTATCTAGAGGAAAGTTACCCAAATTACTGAATTTTGGGTAACTTTCAATATCATGTTTTTCTTGCCTAGCCTCTACTGATATGGAAATCTCAGTAATTTTTTTTGTTTCTTTTAACTTTGCAATAGTCATTATAATTATACTTCTATAAATTTGTATTTAAGTGATTAATTTTCAAATATAAACATCTGAAATCCTAAACAATCATTCTGAAAACAACTGATTGAGATTGAGATATTTCAACTCATATCAAAGAGTAATTTAAATGTTCATTTGTCTTTCTTGTGAGATTTCAGGAAAGTCAAATTATTAAAGTTAAAAATAAAAAACCTTCTAACTTTCAAAATGCTTGGTCTTAAAATCTTTTAATCTGAAAGAGGCTCTTAAAAAATTTAAATTATAAGAAAAGTAAATTTTAAAGTATGTCAGTTATTACTTTATTGATGGCTAGATTTTAGCTAGCTCTTAGAAATGTCCTAGTATGGTGTGAAATGCCTACAGGTGACACGGTTAAGAAAATAATGAATCCTTTAGAGAAAAATGTATTAAAGACAAACCAAAAAAACCTAGACGGTGACAACTACAAAAGACTGGGAGGGATATAAACTATGTGATATCATCTGTGTGTATCTGGATCTGACGAGATAGAAATCAGATCAGTAAGAGAAAACTTACTAAAAAAGAAAAAAGGAAATTATTTTTTGATGATGCTAATCTGTTTTATCTTGATTGTGGTGGTGTTTCTTAACTACCACAGCATACAAGTTTCTCAACATCCATACACTTACATATCTAACAAGGGGAAATTTATACCTCTGTAAATCTCCAGGGAAAAAATAATCACATGTTTTACATGTCTATTAGTTCTCACTGCACCTTAGGAAAAATCAAACCGTGAAATATAGTTGATGCATGATGGGTGTGGTCTGCACTCCTATGATGGAACTCTAAAAGTGATCCACTCAGAGAAAAGGATGTGGTTCTGCATCAAAATATTGTTGAATAAATGTACGTATATACTTTATATTGAAACAAAAGGTTTGGGGTACAGAAGTATTACTTTTGAGAATTGTCTTTTCAGCAGACTTTTTGAATAACTGAGTAACTACCAACCTAAACACTTTGAAAGAGAGAGATTCCACACCCTCAGAGGCTAGGCAAGAGAAAGGGGAGAGAAGAGTATTCCAAAAATTAACTTTACCTATTTCACAAGTTCCCAAGATATTTCCTCTATTACCGTAAGGGGAATGATGTTCGTTTTTAATCTCTAAAACTGGAGTTGGACATCAGTCATCAACAACCAACATTTATTGAGTATGTGTAACACCAGGCTACACCCTAGAGACCGAATGAGAGAATTCCTCCAGATGTTTAAAATAAAATTGAGAAGATGGAGTACGTAAAATGATGATGGATAGCTTTTCAAGCCCTCACTCCTCTCAGAAATCAACCCAAAACAATAAAAAAAGAGAAACATAAACACACATCATCTTTGACAAGTCCCAGAGACATCTTTTACCTAGAACCGTAACACACAAAGACTAAGAGCACAGGCAGTCCCTGGGTCAGGAAGGAGAGAGGTTCTACAGATTTGTTTTGAAGTTGATTTTGGATGTCTGTTGGAATAGGCACATTTACCTATATGTAATAGCCTCTGTTCATAGTGTGAGTTATATGATATTTGATGTTTGTAACTCGGGGACTTATGGTAATAGCCTTCATAAGTGCAAACTGAATATAAGTTGGATGTTTGTAACTTGGGGACTGCCTGTAAACAAATGAGGTAGCAAACAAGAGGAAAAACCTTAGTGGGTACCAAGGAAAAAACAGCTAGCAAGCCAATGAGCCCTGAGGAATTCCAGAAATGTGGACAAGTTAAGGTTAAAAAGTAGCAAAAGTACTTTCCAGTTAGGCTGAAAACAGTATTTGAAAGTGTCAACAGTCCTTCAGATTCCTCCTCTTATGCAGTAAAGCCCAGCAATTATTCTTTCCTCATTCCCACTGGATAAGGACCAAGACAAACCAGAAAGGCTTCAGACTAAGACGCCGGGAACAAAGGAGAGCAAGGATTGAGAGAAGAGACATGATTAAATAGAAGTGTGTATACAGAACGAGTTCCCCAGCTTTCTTCACTTGTCCTGTTCTAGGACACTAACAACCAGGTCTACAGCCTACCTCCCACGCACAAAGAGTCAGGAATCAATTCTTACTATCTTGATCTTCAAAGTGAACCAAAATACAAGGATTGTCAGATGTTTGAGGGATGCCTCCTTCAGAAGGAATCATCAAGTAAAATAAGAGTATTTCTCAGAAATGAAAAAACAATGATCTCTGGATTAAAAAGCACAAACGTCCAGTACAACACATAAAAGTAAAAACAACCAATAACCAACAAAAATATTCTGTGGTCTATCATTATGGAATAACAAAACACCAGGAAAGATTCTGGCATAAGGAGTTACATTAAAAGGATTATGCACCATAACGGCATTGCACTTCCCATGGGGAGCACAGAAAAGAGGATACTAGAACAATAGCTCAAAAATCACAACCTGCAATTCTATACTCACCCAAATTGACAGTCATAGGCAAGGCTAGACATGCAAAGTCTCAAAAATTTTACTCTTTTTCCAAAAAATGATAAAATATATTAATTCACAAAAAAGAGGGAGTAAATCATGAACGAATCTAAGAAAATAATTCCAAACTGCAGATGAAAAACTCCCAGGGCAGAAGAACCATGCAAAAGAGCTAGAGAACAAATAGACCAGGCTGGACTAAGAGGGAAGCAGAAAAAAACAAAGGCAAAAACCAACCAACCAGATAAAAATCCCGACTGACAGACTTCATGGCCTGGAAAATTATATGGAGGCATCTTACAAAACTGTAAAATGTAAGATAAGATGAGAAGTCTGAGAATTAAAAACTCCCAGAAAACTAAGAAAATTAAAATGAAATTATTAAAACCCAAAAATGATTTTTAAGTATAATAAAAGTACATTAACTGACTCAGCAATTCACTGAAGGATAAGATGATTGGAAGATGAATGAAGACAGCCAAGATTTTCATTTATCATAACAAAGTATATGGATAATGCTAGAGACAGCAGAAGATACTAGAAGAGTTTTTCTTATAAGGCTTTTAGCACTATCTTACTTTTTAAACATATATTTGAGAAAAGGAAACTCTACATTAAAATTGCATGTATCATATTCCAGATTCAAGACATAAGTAGTAACCGTTAGCACTACACCACTGCTGATGAGTCCGATGAGGGCACCCGTGGTGTGGCAGGCAGCACATCAATCAGCTAAAAATACGGCAGGACTCCGAGAGCGTTGTTGCTTCAGACAAAGTAATGATATGACCAGAAAAAAGTTCTATACCCATCTACCACTGTAGTGAGAGGGCTTAATATCACATCTAACACAGAGTAAGTGGCCGAAAACTACTGAGTAACTACGTACATAAGCAGGGTTGTTTTTTTAAATTTTTGGTTAATATGAGGGTGCATATGGTTAGGTTGTATTGTTTGCATTTGTAAAGTCACGTCTGATTTTCAGCTGAGTCCTTCACCCAGGAGGTGTGCCGTATATCCCTACATTGTACCTTGTTCGGATAGTTTTTATAAGATGGTCAAAGAATACGTAGCAGACTAATGAGGCTATTCCGTAAGGTCTGTGGAGGAGATCAGTAGGAATTAAGATTAATAAAGTAGACAGAGGCCAGACAATGGAAGATTCTAAATGTCAATAAATCTGCATTTGATCTTATAAGCAACCAAAACATGCCAAAAAGTTTTGAATAATGGGGTACATTATTGTGAACAATGTAATGTTGAAAGATTAATCAGAATAGGAATTAGAAATGAGAGCAGAGAAAGGTATAAAAATACCTGTGAAAGTGTATGTGTCAGGAGTAAGAGCAAGGATTGGGTTTCTCCAACAAAGCTAGGACTATACCAAGGTTCCTGAGAGCCATATCAATCTTTAAAGCATTTTCAGGTTAATGAAAACAGCACGGGAGAACATCTTTTGGCCATGTACTCCATCTGCAAGTATACACGTCTAAGTTACTTTACTACTGATCACCTTTTCCTTAGGGGGTTAGTCCTAAAAATTTTAACCAGTCTATTTTTTAGAAATGTTGTTTCTAATAGTCATAGAATAAAAACCTAAATATCAATTAAAACACAATTACCAATATGGTGTGCCAATGAAAGACTTCCGTTTGGCAATTGTCGCTGTTATCTGGGCGGATACTCCAAAGTCAGCTGTTAAAAAAAAATGACAAGCTTTTAAAAAAGAAAACTGAGAGAAAATAAAATTATTTAAGGCAGTATGAAAAGAAACTTTCAGTAATTATTTTTAAGTTAATTTCACAGAAATGTAAGATATTCTTAAATATCACACTCCATTTTTCAACTTTAATAGACTAGCATTAAACTACCACAAAAGCAGCCAGTGTGTATCAATAACTAAATAGATTCCCACATACATGTATCCCCACACAAACTAATGACAAAAAAGGGCAGATGAAATAATTTTGATGAGAAAGAGACAGCTGAGGTAATCTAAATTGCCAGATTCATTAATACTAAAATTTCTTTCCTTTTTTTTTTTATTAAATGATAGCTGTGTATATTAATGCAATCATGGGGTACAGTGTGGTGTTTTCATATACAATTTGAAATAATACTAAAATTTCTAATTCCTAGGACCTGAAATTCAAGGAGTATCACTGGAAGCGACCTTTATTTAATAGTATATTCTATTCATTCTCTGCTTACCTATGATGACTGACATCAAATAAATCAGTAATTCTACTGGTAAATCAATTTAGCTTGAAAAGACATCCAAACAATATTCTCGGAATCTTAAATTAGCAATAAATCCTAACAGTAACAATTACCATCAGGAAGTTTCTTATAAATATTTTGATGTACAGTTTGTTACTATTCTTTAAGTAGGTTGAGTTCTAGTATTTTCTAGTTTAGTAATGATGATTTCTAAATCTTTCTTAACTAAGACATAAACAGTATGTATCTGAGTGAGGCACATAACATTGCCACAAAATATTAACCTGCTGACAGGAACTTTCTACTTGGCAATTAAGACTTAGATAATTGACAAGAAGAAGACTTATCTTTTCTGCTTTTCTAATTAATATTCAGAGGTCACTTAGGAAAACCTTATTATATGTTAATTATTAAATACATATTTTAAAATCTGATGAGTCCTATAATAGGCTATGGTTCAAAATAGTGTTATTTACATTTTTATAAAATACATATTTTAAATTTTGATTTATTCTATATAGTTTAAAATAACTGGCTCACACTTGTTATTAAATACTTCATTTAGTAACTAACAGATATGACTTTACTCATGAAAAGTACTATATTGAACATCTGTTCTGTCTTAAACTTTTCTTAAGTCATTATTTAGTTTTGAACTCTATTTTAATTGTAACTTCAATAGCCAAAAGCTATAAAAATATAAGTTACTATTTGAAGCAAAGCAACACTCAGCATCTAAATTACATATATTGTTAATGGTACATTTTATTTTAAAAGCATATGTAAAGAACGTGGGGTTTTCGAAGTTTCTAATTTTTTAATTTTTGTCTTTTTTTTTTTTTGGTTATAACATAATTTTGTTCAGATTTCTTACTAAAAGTCATGTTCCTGGGTTTAGATGTGAAAGAATTCCCAAAGGATATTATTTCACAATATCGGTCCATGTGAAGGACAGACTTTATCCTTGTTTAACAGAAAATGGATACAGAGAAGTAACATGCCCTGCAATGAGATTTCCATCTAAAAATACAGAAATGCTTCCTGGGGAAGGAAAACTTGATCCTACAAAGGAAAACATAAACTTAACTATGCTTTAAAATGCATTTGTAAATGTGACAAAATTCCAATTTACTTACCTAATTTCACATGACCATTATCCGTTAATAGAATGTTAGCACCCTTCAAAGTGAGAACATTTTAGTTAAATTAGGAAATACATTTTGTAAGATAGCACATATAATAAATACTCAGATACATATTAAAAATAATCACATCTTTAGACCTAGAAATACTTAAAGTATGCTCAATTAAAATGTTAAATCTTTATATTCACAGAAAAATTTACTATCCACTTTTTAGGCAATTTGACTATCCTTATGTTCTGCCTTGCAAAAAAACTGCTACTAACATTGTATGAATGTTAATATAAAAGTGATATATTAGTTTTCATCTAAATGTTGTTTTCTTATTGATCAAATACTATCACTATACTAAAATGATACTTTATAGTGGCATGTTCAATTGCTTGTGTCACATTTTAAACTTGACTACTAGTTCCTGTTTCAAAAATCTCCCTTTCTAGGAACTCACCATCAGTTGAACCAGGGCTCCTTGTGTAAGACTTTATCTTGTTGCTTAGTACATGAGGTTGTCTATCCTAATGATCCCTGCTAAGAGTTTAAGGCCATCTAGTATATAAACAACTAGCCTCAGACTCACAGAATTAAAACATCACTCATCTACATGACCTCATAGCATTTTATTTTACTTTATTTTATTTGAGACAGAGTCTCACTATGTCACCCTTGGTAGAGTGCTGTGGTGTCACAGCTCACAACAACCTCAAACTTGTGGGCTTAAACAATTCTCTTGCCTCAGTCTTGCAGGTAGCTGGGACTACAGGCGCACGCCACAATACCCGGCTATTTTTTGTCGCAGTTGTCATTGTCGTTTAGCTGGCCTGGGCTGGGTTCAAACCCAGCTCCCTTGGTGTATGTGGCTGGCGCCGTAACCACTGTGCTATGGGCACTGAGCCCTAATAGCATTTTAGCCACTTTTTAAAAAGTTTTATAAAAATTTTAATTTATTTAGAGATGTGAGTCTTGCTTTGTGTTGTCCAGGCTGGCTTCAAACTTCTGGACTCAAGTGATTTTCCCCGCTCAGTCTCCTGAATAAGCTGAGACTAGGTATGCATCACTGGGCCAGGCCTATTTTAGCCACTTTTGCTTCTTGACTTAAGCTCAAAGAAGATAATGGCTACTTCAATACGCTCAAAGCTTTTGGAAGAGGTAGAAAGACTATCCCAAAGGTAATATAGGTTTCTTTTCCCCCTTCCGTTCTTGTCTACAACGTTTAAATAAGAAAGCCAAAGTAAGCAACCTCTTTAGTCTAAGGTGCTATTATGTTAAGTATAGGTTTTGGGGGAAAAAAATACTGTGAACCCTCCCACCTCCAACCAATGTAAGGAAGAAATAGGAGCAGACTGGAAGGAAAAATAAGAAACAGAAAAATGAACAGGAAGGTTCCTAGACCCCAAATGTCACCAGTGAAGCATGGCACTCATCTACTTATATTGCTACAGTTCCATGGAATAATGGCAGAAAAGAAAAAGGAAAGAGAAGAAACTAGAGCTGGGATTTTTCACTTGATCTTGGTCCTTAGCAGTCTAGGCTTCTGCCAAGGTCTTCAGTTGGCCTCTCCCCAGCTCCAGATTAATTTTCTTAAATTACACCTTATATAATGTTACTTGAATATCATGTCCGGCTTTCTTTCTTTCCTTTCATCCATTCTACCTTCCTTGAGAGACTACTTGTAGTCAGGAGGTACGTCTTTAATCTCAAGTCATGTAATGAATAAGTTCCAACTCTCATGAGTTTACATGCAAGTAGGAAAGAAGGAAAATCTAAAACTAAACATATTTTTCATTTCTCTATTTTCCACCTGCAAACAAATGAACCCCCATGCGATTATGATTCAAAATCAGGCAGAGCTAAGTACTCTGAAGACAAATAAAGCAGGGAAGGGATGGCTTCTCCTAAGGTAGTAAAAATTGAGCAGAGATCTGAATGAAGTGGGGGTAGAGAACCATGATGAAATCTGGAAGAAGACCATTCCAGGAAAAGAGATCAGCAGACACAAAGACGCGGGGCCAGAATGAGCTCTAGTCTAAGAATGGCAAGTTTAGCATGGCTGGAACAGAACAAGTTAAAGAGAGAGGCATAGAGTGTGAGATGAGGTCACAGAGAAATGCAGAGGCCAGATCAGGGGAAACCTTTCAGGCCACACTAAAAGCATCTGGACTTGATGCTGAGCACGGTGGGAAACCAATGGTTTAGAAGCAGGACAGTGATCACTTTAGTTGCTGGGTGGAACGGAAGCATTGAAACCAGTTAGAAGGCTATTACAGAAGTCTAGTTGAACTATACTATGGTAGCTCAGACAAGGATAGAAATGGTGATGACGGTCAGGATTTTTGTAATTAGACCCAAATTCTGAAGTCCAGCACACAAGTCTTTGCCTAACAGAATAGCAAATACCCAGCCAACCTTACCTCCTACTACTCTCATACACTCTCTTCTCTTCAATAATATGACACAGTTTTATGTTCTCTAAAATGGCCTTGTACTTTTCAACCTTTGTATCTCTACTCATATTGCTTTCTGCTTGAAATGCACTCCAGCTTCCATTTCTAATAAAAACCTGCCAATCCTTCTAGGTCATCTACAGGCCAATGACAAAGAGCTTTTCTTGAGTCACTGCTCATCATCTTATGCTCTCTTCAACCTTTGAACTCCAAAGCCCTTTAGGTCTTTTAAATGACTTAGGAAAATTCTTAAAGCAAGGAATACCACTAGGTTACCCACAAGTCTGCTGAAATTTCACGGACAATCTAAGGGCATGTGCATATAGGCATTTTCTAGGAGACATGGTCTTCATCAGAGACTCAAAGAGCAACATGATTTGCCCCTACCCTCAGTCCTCAAAAAGGTTAAGAAACTTGGTTAGAGAACAGAGAGGAAGAGAAAAGTAAAAGGAAGGATGATCAAGGAAGAAGGGACAAGAAAAATGAATAAAAAAAGAAATCTAAACTTGGGAGAATGGTAGTATCTTTAGAAATAACTTTAGGAGCCCCGCCACAGCACCCCAACCACTGAGTAACCCCAGCACATCCAGAGCATTCACTCTCCTCTGCCAGCTAAATAAATAAAAGACTATCAGGAAATGCAAGGTTTAATTTATCCATTTTAATACATTATTAATGATAGTTCCTTATGATTGTCAAAACATATCAGAATATTTAAAGCGTGAAGCTTACTAAAAATTGTACGACGAAAGCTGTGGACCCAATCAGCATTTTATAAATAACTACAAAGAAGCTAAAATGAGTTATTAAAACATTAATCCACTAAATTATGCATTTTCAAAGCAAGAGCTTTATAGTATGAATTACATCTCACTATTCAAACTCTTCCAAGTATCACCCATTTTTAGTATAATAACACATTTCAGATAACAAATTAATCAATAATAAAAACACGTTTGCTCAACTATCTGGCAAGAATATTTTAAAATAAAGAGGGTTACTAGATTAAAAATATAATGTATACCTTTATATCTCTGTGCATTTTTCCTTTACTGTGAAGATAATATAATCCCTAGAGTTTCAAAAAAACAGAAAAAATAAACAAGATTTTATCACAGAACACACTTTGGGATTTTAACTAATCAAGTAAATAGATTTCTATATATTTTATTTACTCCTTACAGATGATCTAGTAGTAACTATTAACATATTTAATGAGATATCATAAAAGACAATAAAATTAAGAAAATGTATAATTTTTCTAAGACAATTTTCAGCAAATTATATAAACAGTTTGACGTAACTTCTAAACAGTGCATATCCATCCAATTGGTATCAAAGTAAGTTTCAACTTTTATGATAGTATTTTAATTTTCAAGCTCTTCTTGAATACTTCCTTGGTAGTAAGAGGAATAGTAAATAAATAACAAATTCATAGTGCTTGAATTTTAAGTTGTATCATCACCTTTAGGTTTTGAAGTGTTTATTTGCAAATATAATCTGAGTTTGTTACACAATGAAAAAAACTGTTCAAGAGTTTACCAAACTAAAATATTTAATCCTCTCTTTAACAAGCAGTGGACAATAATAAACATTTAGTTGAATTAAGAATGTTACTTTTTAATTAGCGTTGTATTTACCTGTAGTGTTTCTCTGCTAACATATGCAATTTGTAGTTCTGACAGAGGTCCAGTCACTATAAAAGAAGAAAATTAATATTAATAGTATGAGTCAATGTATGCTTTTCAATAAGTGACAAAAGTTCCGCTAAGCAATACACTTAATAAACCTAAACAATTCTGCTAAAATGTAAGCCCCACGAGGGCAGGGTTTTTGGTTTGTTAAATCTGATTTGCTCATTGTCTAGTGTTTAGAACAGTGCCTGACAGGGAGAAGCTACTCGATAAGTATTCCTAGAATGGACCAGGTGGAGGCTCACGCCTCTAATTTCAGCACTTTGGAGGCCAACAGTATAGGAATGCTTTAAACTAGGAGTTTGAGAAAACCTGAGCAACATAGCGAGACTGTCTCTACATAAAATACCAAAAATAGCTGGATATGGTGGTGCACTCCTATAGTCCCAGCTACATAGGAGGTTGAGGCAGGAGGATCACTTTGAGCCCAGGAGTTTGGTGTTACAGGGACCCATGATTATGCCACTGCACTCTAGCCTGAGTGACAGAGGAAGGCTCTGTTTAAAAAAAAAATCCACAGTAAATGAATGACTGAAATAATCACTAAAATTAATTATATTATCATTTTTATACCTTGCTGATAATAGCACATCTTAAATATAAAGAGAAAAACATCCAAGCAGATTAGCTAGTTTTTATTAAAATTTTTAAACTGATGTGCAACAGGTATTATGGCTAGTTTTAAGACAATACTTTTCCCTAATAGCATTAGCTTTACAGCTATAAAATTAATATGTATATATTCACTATAAAAAAATAGAAAAGTTAGGAAAGTAAAGATCTCTTCCCTACCCAAAATATTACTCAGCAGTAAGCAACATCCACAGTTTGGTCTATAATCTCCCAGATGATTTTATGTAGAGACATTTTATAAGTGGAATTATATTACAACACACTTCAGAATCTTGCTCTTTTTACGTGAAATTTTGTTCTACACCAATATATATGGATTAATGTTATCATAATATTTGAATAGTTTTTCCTTTGGGTGCATCTGCTATGGTTTTAATATTTGAGTCCCTCTAAAATTCTAGTTGAAACTTAATCTCCAATGCACCTACTGTATTAAGACGTGGGACCTCAAGGAAGTGATTAGGTCATCAGTGCTCCTCCCTTGCAAATGGGATTAAGACTCTTAATAAAAGAGGCTTCAAGCTCCCATTGCGCCCTTTTATTGCCTTTCTGCCTCTTCCATCATGTGAGGACGTCTAGACAGTGTCGTCTATAAGGAACGAACCTTCACCAGACAGTGAGCCTGCTCACACCTTGACTTCTCAGCCTCTGGAACTGTGAAAAATATGCTTCTATTGTTTATCAATGACTCAGTTTCAGGGGGTTTTTTGCTATAGCAGTACAAATTGACTCAGACAGCATCTGTCCACTATGAAACACATTTAAATAGTTCTCTCTTTTTCATTATTGTATCACTTTAGAATAAAGAAATACCTCAGGTGGGAGACTGTTCTAGACATTGAATTAAATTCCAAAGATAGAAATTTCTGTTAGGTATCAAACTCATATTTACACAAACTTAACAGCTTCATAGACATGTTAAGTTTGAGTACTTGTGGTATTTTACCATTACAGAATAGAGAAATCCATTCCACTTAGATTCTTTTAAAGACAGAGCTGGGTTTAAATGTCTACGGACCAACCATATAACTAATTTCTTTGGCTTCTAAGCCCATTCTCATTCAGCTAGTTATGCCACCTTGAGTTTCTGTTTCTATAGTATGACAAATAAGATAAGCTGAAAGTCCTAAAAATAACATACTTGGAAGATTAAAAATAATAATAAAAAAAACACTTAATAACTTTTTAAATGACTAGCCAGGTTTACAAATAGTAAGAGACTTTCCCAGGGGATAAAAACAAAAAGTGAAACAAAAAATGGGAAGGTAAAAATGTGAGAGACTAGTCTACCTGTTTCTTAGGGGAAGGACATTCTTGGTATGTAAAGGCTTTAGTTTTATTCCCTTCATGAGTACGGAATCACAAGGCCCTCAGTCTGCAGAAAAAGAGTTAAAACCAACACTCGCAAAAAACCCAAAGGGCTACATACTCTTTAAGAGTAGATAAGCACAGGGAATAGCTAGGAATTTTGGCTGTCACAGCCCAGGATCTAGATAAATATCTAGCGGGGTAAATATCTCCTCTTAGAATTTGTCACCACTGGCTTCTTCGCTTAGGTTTAGGGTTCAAATATACATTAGAAACAAGTTCACTGAGGTCCCAGGGGGGAAGAACACTCTATAAAGGCATACCCTCAAACACCATATGGAATTTCCACTGGCAAGCCCCATAAAGAAGATGTCAAAGCCTGAGCAATAGTGAGACCCCTTCTGTACAAAAAATGAAAAAAATTAGGTGGGCATGGTAGTTCAGATATTCAGGAGGTTGAGGCAGGAGGACTGCTTTAGCCCAGGAGTTCAAGATTATAACAAGATATGACGATGCCACTGTACTCTAGCCCAGGCCAATAATGATGATGATGATGATAATAAAAATTTCAAAATCCAAAATTATACAATAAGTGAGAAAATAGTTCACTGTAATGTAATAACAAGTTGTGAGGAGCTATTAAAGGATAATATAAAACAAAAATATTCAATGAAAAATAGAAAAAAACTATCATTTATGTTTGATAAAAGAGTCAAATGTTAGTTCTTTTAAAAAAGAAAAAAGGAGAAAAATGGGGAGAGAGAGGTTGTGAAAAAAATGTTCATTTGAAATGTAATCTTTACTATGGTAGCTGAAAATATGTATACAAAGTCTTTGCTACTTCCCCCTTCAAGAGTTAGAATTTAATTCCCTTCCTGAGCATGGTTTGACTTAATATGGCAGACATGACAGTATACAATTTCTGAGACTACATCATAAAAGGTTTTGTGACTTCCTCCTTGCTCTCCCTGGGAACACTTGTCTGGAAAAGGCCAGCTCCAACATTGTGAAAACACTCAAGTTGTCCTATGGCAAGATCCACATGGTGAGGACTAACACCTCCAGCCAACAGCCATAAAGGAACTGAAGCCACTGCCAATAACCTCATAAGTGAATCGTCTCAAAAGGAAATTCTCCAGCCCCAGCCAATAGCTTGAGGCAACCTTTTGAGAAACAATAGGTTAGAATCATCCAACTCAGCCATTCTTGAATTCTTGACCCTTAGAAACTGAGAGATAATAAATGGTCTTTTAAGCTGACAAATTTGGGGATCATTTATTGTTTACCAATAGATAACTACATTTTTGTAAAAAGGAAATGTTTATTAAACATTTTAAAAGATCATATGGAAAAGGTTAACAGAATTAAGAACAGTAAAATAAATACAAAAATCCTGTAGAAAAAGTCTTTTAATTTACTCCTAAAATTACTTAAGAGGTCCCACACTAAAAAATGAGCCCAAATACTATTAAAAAATAAGAAAAATTTTCCAAAATATTTTCTCAGAAAACTGACATCATTAAGGAGACATTATTTTACATTAATGAAAAGAGTAAGCTTACTCTGCAGTTTGTGATAATATCCTATTAACAGAAAGGGGGAAAGAAGGAAAGGAAAAACAGTAAAGCTTATTTCACTTTACAGTCTCTTTTATACTATATTTTCTGTACAGAAGCCCAATGAAAAATATTAAAATCATTTTTTAATCTTTCAGAATCTGGTACCATCTAAAAGAGTAAACATTTAATTGATGTTTCTTGAATGACATCGCAAAATCAACTGCCTTTGTGTCATCACTACATTTGTACCAACTGGATACTCTTATTGGCTTAGTACAGGTATCAAGGCCTTTGTATTTTCACAGGTCTGAGTTTAAATTTTTGAACTAAAATATACCTTCTTCAGAATTGGGAAATTATACAATTGTATATAATTTTCCAACTTACAAAGCAAATGCTTCTTTCCTCCATACAGATCTTAAATACCTTTACATATCCAAACACAATGATAAAACATATTTCTTTAAGACAGTGCTAATGTTTTAATATAGTAAATAGCTGTTTTTAAAAATTCTACCTAATCTGTAAACAAATGTAACTTTAGTCTTACCGTGATAAATATCCTGTAAAGAACCACCTCCACAAAACTCCATGCAAATCCAAAGTTTATCCCGCCTATAAAAAAAAATAAGCACGTTTCACAGCTTCATAATTAAAATGGTCTGTTTGAGGTCAAGAGTACTTTAGAAGGTTGTGTGCTGAAACCTTGAAAAACAACACAAATGTGTTTTTAACATGATATGTTTTCTAAGAAAATGCTAATTAATCTTCATAAGTAAATAAATTACTTAACATAATGTGTTAACTATAACCCAACCTGAAGAATTAAAACTTATAATAGACCATTGGTCAGGTGTCTTCAGTAACTCCAAATAATGAGAAAATAGTTTTAAAATCCCCCCCACCTGAAAATTTGTGCAACTACCCAGATCAATTTCATCTATCCAGATTCAGAAAAATGGCAATATATGTCAAAGTATATTACTTTGGTAGTGCTCTCATCAACAAAACAGACAGAATTTGAATGTTATCCTCAAACATCTAAGATTCAACCACAATCTTCCCAAAATATTCTGTTAAAACTTAACGCTCGCTTGTCTATGTTTATCTATGCTACCTAGCATTTCTCACGTTCACATTCTGAGCTGTTACAATCATACAGTCATACAGAAAATAATCAGCAAGGATTTATATAGCTTATTCCTTTGTTCAATAATTCATTGCTTCAACTCTTATGATGTACCAGGAAATGTACTATTCTTAAGGGATAGAGATAGAATACAAAGTCTCTGAACACAGCAAGCTCTATCTAATGTAGAAAAAAAGATTCTGCCTTAATATATGTCTCTCATACCACTGTCTTCACAGTGCCTGGAAGACTATCCAGCAGATAATTATTTGTTCCATAAATGAATGAATGCCTGCATATGGGACTAAAAGAACAAACAAATCAATTAGAACATTAGTCAGCAAAATAAGGCCAGTGGGTCAAATCTGTCCTGCTACCTAATTACATACAGCTCTGGAAGTATGAATGGTTTTTATATTTTTAAATGGTTGGGGAAAAAATCAAAAGAAAAATATTTCTTGACATATGACAATGATATGAATTTCCTATTTTGGTGCTCATCACGTTTTACTAGAACACAGTCACACTCACTTATTCATACGCTATCTATATGGCTGCCTTGCTCTAGAACAGCAGAGTTGAGTAGTTGTAATAGACACTGTGCAGCCCACAAAGCCTCAAATATTTACTGTTGTCCCCCTTTATAGAAGACGTCTGCTCACCCTCAGGTAACATTACAATTTGGTTAATGCATAACTGAAGGATGTATAAAGTGCTGTGGGAACCCAGAGATAAAAACACCTATAAAAATCAAGGGAAAGTTTTAGGGAGGAAGTAACAGTGGAACCAGGTCTTAAAGTTACAAAATGAATTCAGCAGGGATAGACAAGGAAGGGACCTGTGCGTAAGAACATAAACTTGAAAGAAAATGCCACCTTTTCGAAACGAAGTGATTTAGTGTGAGCTGAACAAAGGCTGCCTGAAGAGACAATAGCAGAAAATGAAGCTGGACTAGGCCAGGGTCATATTGTGAAATACTGCTTATCCTGTAGACTCCTGAGTTGAGTTACCTTCATGTGGATGTTTCTAGTCTGTCAATCTCTCTCTCAAAATGTGGCACCCAGAACTAAGTGCCATTCTGAGTGTTGCATGAACAGAGAGCATTAAAAAATGAGCTGGGCTGAGTATAGTGCCTCACTAATCCCAGCACTTTGGGAGGCCAAAGGATGTGTATCATTTGAGGCCAGGAATTCAAGACCAGCCTGGCCAGTAAAGTGAGACTCTCATCTCTACAAAAAATTAAAAAAAAAAATTAGCCAGGTGTGGTGGTGCATACCTGTAGACTTAGCTACTTGACAGGACTGCTTGAGCTCAGAGTTCAAGGTTGCAATGAAGTGTGATCCTGCCACTGCCCTCCAGCCTGGGCAACACATTGAGAGCCTGTTTCTAAGGGGGAAAAAAAAACTGGAGTTCCTGTTATCAAGAGTAGCTCAGTGGTTAGGGTGCCGGCCACTTGCAGCAGGGCTAGTAGGATCAAACACAGCCTGGGCCTGGTAAACGACGACAACAATAACAAAAAAATAGCCGGGCGTTGTGGTGGGTGCTTACAGTCCCAGCTACTTGTGACACTGAGGCAATCGCTTAAGTCCAAGAGGTTGCTGTGAGCTGTGACACCACAGCACTCTACTGAGGGCAATATAGTAAGACAGAAAAAAAAAGAGGAGGTCACTGGCCCAGTGTGATGATGGCTCCAGGAGGCTGAGGTGGGAGGATCCCTTGAGCTCAGGTGTTTGAGATCAGACTAAACAAGAGTGAAACCCAATCTCTTTTTACAACAGAAAAAATTAGCTTAAAAAAAGAAAAAAAAAAAGCTAGCTGTTGTGGTAGGTGCCTATAGTCCGAGCTATGCAGGAGGCTGGGGCAAGAGATCACCTGAACTCAGGAGTTTGAGGTTAATGTGAGCTAGGCTGACGCCACAGCACTCTCAGAGTCTCACTGTGTCTTAAAGTGTGTGAGCCCACAGTGAGACTCTGTCTCAAAAATAAAAAATAAAAGAAGTGTAGCTCAAGAGTGGTGATGGTTAGCTGACTTGCTTGGGTGTGGGAGACAGCACAGCATACAGCTGCAGAACACAGGCTATCAGAGTGCAAAGGTCAGCTAACTCAGAGTATGAAGTAGCAAGGCACATGGTTCTAGAAGGTAAAGCTGAAGAGTGAAGCCCAAAGGTAGAAGAAATCTAAAGCTACTCCCCTTCAAAAACATCTACTATTTCAGGGGGTCTAAGTACCAATGAAACTGAGGCGTAACATTGACATAAAATGCTTTAATTTCCAATATGGTAAATATCAACAGACATAATAACCTACATAAATATGAGCCAGCTGCCTAGTAGCCTGGTTTATCAGAACTGAGAAGGCACTTGTGACTAATGACTGCTATGTGGGGAGAAGTCTAAATCTCCCGGAGAATCTAACAATTGTCTCCTTTATTTGAACACTATATTTCCACTAACTTGCCTGAAGACTATCTTCAATTTCACAGCAACTGCATTAAGCTGCTGGTTCCCAGTTTGTGGTTAAAACAAACCCTGGATCTTTTTCTATATAAAAGGTAGACCGTTTTTCTTTCCAGCTTTGTATTTGTATATCTGGTTCAGTGAAAATAAGAATAGAATTTTTTCCATATTTGTTAAAAAGTAGTAGGTCTGATTCATATCCTTTCATTTCTGACATGCAGCATATTAGCTCTCCCAGTGTATCACTTTAAAATGTTCCAACATAGATAGGGACACAGGGACACATATTTGTGTTAGGTTTAATACATATACTTGAGGCAATCCATATACCACTTTTAAGTAGTCTAACTGAATACATCTCTCTCCCCCTCCCCCAGGTAGTTCATTAGCATTTGAAATACCCTAATCAGGACTTTCTCCTCTAGAGGCAGCAACTACCAAGGTCTTGGTTTACAATCTGTTTAAACCTGCTATACTGGGTTTACTAGTGAGTTCAAGTAATATTAGAAATATTTTTGACGGGTAATATAAATGATGCAATAACTATGTAAATTATTTAGAATCTACCATTTGGCACCTCTTCTGTCTTTGCCTAAAGTGAGGCATAAGACTCTTGACAAGCCCATCATTCCTTAGAATGATGCTTAGGGTCCAATTCAGCATCCAGAATGCAGAATACAGCATGATCTCTCTAGGTTAGCTGAATACTTCCCCCAGAAAAGGCATTCTCCAGGTATGGTCTAGGATACACTGAAGAGTCCCATACACACTTTCTGAGTGTCAGCAAGGTCAAAACCATTTTCATTACCACTAAGAAATTATTTGCCCTTTCTCTCATCAGAGTACAGTGGCGCTTTCCAGAGGCTGCATCAAGTATGATGATGATACCTTCCTTGACGGCTACTAGAATATGTTTTTACATATTCTTGCACTTTAAAAAATTCTCAGTTTTAATTTCTAATACGGTAAATATCAATAGATATAATGCACATAAACCAAAGCTCTTTGGGGGTACTCAATAATTTCTAACAGTGTAAAATAAAAGGGGTGCTAAGGACAAAAATATTTGAGAACAACAGTTCCTAAAGCAGCTTCTCATCTTCACATGAAAACAGTCACAAGTCAATATTTCATGCAAAACATCTATCCCAAGTGTTTAAGAAATAGGCATTTGGGACTTCACATATCTTACAAAAACAGGCTGAAGGATTATTTTGGGTCTGCTTAGATTAGTGAAATAATATGTAAAGTGCTTAGTGAAGGACCTGGAATACAGCACAATCAATGTAAGCCGTTTTCTCTTCCTTTTGTTATAATACATATATTTTATAGTATATTTATGTAAGTAATCTTAAAGAGCTCCCAGAACTCAGTGAAAGCAGAAATAAAATTATCTTTTTTTTTTTTAAGGGAAAAATAGAAGACAAATACGATTGTTTTGGCATGACTTCTTACTAAAGTCATGCTAATCACTACTTTTTTCTTGTAACTGCTCACTAATTATAAAATTAATAATTTATCCTAGAGTTTTGCTGGGGATTGATGACTAACATCAGGTTTAACAGTTTGTATTTTCTAGAAATCGTCTTTCCTCTTCATTTGCAAATTGGTCGTTGCTGATCTATAATTTTTGACATCTATTTGTAGAGAGAGAGTGAATGACAATCACATTTCCTAAGTTTTCAGTATGAGATATAATTTAAATAAATCTGAAAGCTTAAATTCATTCAAAGTGTCTAGCTGCTCTATAATGATCTACTTACTTCTTGTGCTTCAATTCCATCTTAATAGTATTTTTCCTATCCTTTCCAGTTTGAAAATAATTCTCCTTGGTAGAGAAAATGAATGCAGGAAATGAGTTCTCTGCTTTCGTACATATTTTACTATTATACTGCCTTCTACTTGAAGTTGGTCTATTCCCTTTTCTCTCCTTGCTTAAATATATAATTTTGTATTCATTCCACATAAAATGACTTTCTAGATTACAGGCAGAAAAAAACCCCAGAACTATATATATTAAAGCTTTAGTTT